ATGGTACCAATTTCTTAAATATTTGTAGTAAGTTGCATTATTAGTATTTGTCTATGTTTTGTCCATTTCCCTGTACCCAGTTTCAGGCACATTTCTAGGTTAAGAAAATAATTCATTAAAACGACAAAAGTACCTAGCATTGTAGTTCATACCTATAATCCAAGCACTTGGGATGTTGAGGCAAGAAGATTGTTAAATTTAAGGCCAGAGTGAGACCCTGTCTCTAAATAAATAAGGAAAGCAATGGTAGAGAAAACATGAGAAATGTTTTTTGTAATCTGGGACTAAGAAAAGCCCTTAAGCAAGATCCAAACTCATAAGCCACAAAGGAAAATGATTAATAGTTTTAATAAACAAGTAATGATGTCTGCTGTACACAGCGACATGTCATGTAGTCCTAACTCATCAGGAGGCTGACATAGGAGAACGCAAGTTTGAGGCACCCCTATGAAACGTAGGAAGAACCTATACCAAACAAGATACTCTGCATCTGTGAGTAGGAGTGTGCATATGCCACAGCATGCAGAGAGGTCAGAGAACAACTTTCTGGAGTCAGCTGCCTCCTTCGATTTTGTGTTCCTGGAATGGAACTCAAATTCATGTTGCCAGGCTTGGGCAGCAAACAATTTTACCCTCTGAGCTATCTCCCAATATTTTGATTCTGTTTCTACCCCTTTTTCAGACACACGGCAGGCACATAGAGTTAGGATTCAGCTTAAAACTTCTTCCATTCAGGCATTGCTGTTTGCAGTGGGATTACAGTAGTGAGTAAAACAAAACTTTTCTCTAACAGATTATTTCAGTGTCAAGAGACAGATATGTACAGACATACATTCCTGTGTCAGAAAAGTGTTAAAGATGTTAAAAGAGAAAGGGGAAGAATGATAGGGAAGGAAGTAGTTTTTATGTAGGTTGTAAAGGAGTCTTTCTGATGAAGCCAAACAGAAATTTGAATGAAGTAAAAGAACTGAGCATGATCACTTCTAAGAGAAGACATCTTGCCCAGGGAGGAGCCTTAGTGTCTTTCCCTAGGCCCTGCCCCTTAGGACTTCTGACCCTTCACCACTTATCACCCTCAGCCACCAACTAGACTCTCAGAATGAATAAGCACACAAGTTATTCAAATTATTCACCACCATGTGGAATCCCTTGGTCTCCATGTCATGATTACATTACCTTCATGTTGGTGCGTTTTGATCACTAATTCATTCCCTACTGTATAGTTGTGGGATGGCTAAATACTGGGCAGATACGACAGGCAACAGATTATTAATTGCATTACTCAAAGCCTGGAGTGAAAAAAAGATACCATACACTACATAGGGTCAATGGTAGTTCTACTCAGAAACAGTGGACAATGTAAATGTTCATAGTTTCAGTAGGATCAGGTACCATGTGGTTACCGCAGGAGGATATGATATGTTTGGTTGTTAGAATAATTTCAGGGGTTGACAGGTAACTGAATACTGCTACTTGGGGATAGTAGGAGCTCTGCCTGATGTCTTCGATTGGAAAAGATTATTTGTATGAGGGCCGTATCCATAGGTACAAGTTGGGAGAGCTGTCAGTAGAGGCCCTCCCGATTATATCAGATGTTGTTGAATTTTCAAATCTTATCATTTAAGCTAGTTGTTTTCAATCTGTGGGTCACAACCCTCTTTAACAAGGGTCACATATCAGATATATTTACATTGCAACTAATAAAAGTAGCAAAGTTACAGTTATGAAGTAGCAATAAAAATAATTTTATGGTTGGGGGTCACAACAAATGAGGAACTATATTAAAAGGTCCTGGCAATAGGAAGGTTGAGAACCACTGCTGTAAGCCTAGTTAACATGTTAAACTCTGTACCAGCAACATCAGAGAAGATAGGAGCTTTTAGACATCTAAAAATAGTGAGATATTTAGAACACCACAATAGTGTTTCACATAAAGAATGATAACTTCAAAAGTGAGGATTTGGGGCTTTGTTTAAAAACAAACCTAAGGCTGACCAGTGAGCTCCTTGTTCAGTGTAAGGCCCTATCTCGAAGGAGTAAAATGGAGCACTAGAGGAAGACACCCATGGCCTCTTGACCTCTACACAGATATGCAGTTACACACAAAGAGAAAAGGTTGTGAGGAGCTAAGTGTGTAGAGCATGCTTATAGTCTCACACTCAGAAAGCTAGTCAAATGGATAGTGAGTTTGAAGCCAGTGTGAGACCAAAAAAAAAAAGTAAAAAAATCTCAGAATTGTAATTTGTTTACATTTTTCTTAATTTTAAACATGTAGCAGTAATACTAGCTTTTAAAATTACACAAGAAAACAAGCCCATCTTATTTTAATAACAAAACATCTGCTTATATCACACAATAGTGATTGTATTCAGCAGACGAATGCCTGTTTTATATCAAACCAGTCTGATCTGTTCCGTAATTCATTTTGACTACTGGAATTTGATTCTTATTTTTTAACTACTTGTGAGTTTCCAATTTCTGTAAGATTTTGTTTTCTAAAAGGCTACATATTTAATAGTACTTCCTTAAAGAATTAGGAAAACAAGCTTGCATTGATATATTTTTTCAGTCCGAATACAAAAGCCTAAAGATTTAGAGGACTTTCATGTTAATACAAACAGTACAGCTCATCTACAAGAACCACAAGAGGCTGACAAGTCTTACAGTGTGGGTCAAAATCACTTGAGGCTTCTTTAAACACTGATTCCTGGGGGCTATAGTCCTGGACTTTCTGTTGTCCAATAACTAAAAACATAGCCCATGCATGTGTTGACTAGCTCTAAGATTGTTTACAGTCGGCAGACTAATTTTGGAACATGTTATAATTAGAAAATCTGGTCATATATTTTTTTAATTTTCAGAAATAAACGAGGCAAAATTCTTCACACTGAAATGACTTGCTTTGATATTTTTGTTTGTTTGTTTGTTTTTGTTTTTCAAGATAGGGTTTCTTTCTGAAGCATTAGCTGTCCTGGAACCAACCCTGTAAACCAGGCTGGCCTCAAACTCACAGAGATCCACCAGCCTCTGCCTCCAAAGTGCTGAGATTAAAGACGTGTGTCACCACCACCCAGTCTCTATCATTAGGGGTTCAATTAAAACAGCAGCAATAAATAAATACAATAAATTTTCTATTTATATAATGGTAATTATAGTCCTCGGATATAAAGGTTTTCTTTTGCAAATTATGACAACAAAAAGGAAGTTGAAAAGGGAAAATTTTTCTCCTTTAATACCAGACCTCACACTTAGATGTTTACAGTTTCCTATTCCTTCCTAGTCTCTGTCTATGAAAATACATACATATAATTGTAATCAATGATGAACATAAAGTTTTTGTTTTTTCTTAACAAGTCATGAGGGGTTTTTTTCCATTATGATATGTTAGATATTTTACCATACAACAACAAAGATTGATAACCACTATGTGTCATACCTACATCAGTGAATTAGTTTGTGGGTGAGTGCTGAAAGTCCAAACGGCATGTCAGCAGTTCTGGTGAGGGTCCCTTCCCTTCCTCACCTCATGGTGAATGGTAGCGTAATGGTAGAAATGTGTCACGAGGGAACTACTTCATAGAAAGATAGGAATTGGCGAGTAATTTAGGAGGTGGGCTCTGGCTTTTATAAGAATGAACTCAGGGATCCTATGAGAACTACCTTATGTAATCTCTTCCCAGGACAACCTCCCAGTAGCTTCCAATAGAGGTCTTACTGCTTCTTCTCATCCCTACACTGGGGAGCCAAGCTTCCAACAGATGAGCTATTGAAGGATATTCTCAGACCGTATTTAAGCAATAGTGTTAGGGATAAAATTTTACATATGATACAGCTCCTACAGGGGCTAGGGAAATGACTGTTGGTAGGGAAACATGAGAGCCTGAGTTCAGATCCTAGTGGAGTAGAAACAGGCAGATCCCTGAAGCTCACTGGCTGTCCAACCTAGTGGAATCAATAAGCTTCAGGTTCAGAGAGAGACCATGTTTCAAAAATGAAAGGCGAAAAGCAATTGAAGAAGGGTACCTGATGTCTGCCTCGGCCCTCCACATGCAGGCACACATACAAACAAGATACAGCCCCTAGAAAGTTTCATAGGCTTATGGTAATAATAACTGTCTTATCATTTATTTATTGAGCACCTGGCGTTAGGGATTCTAAACTGCCTTTCATTTGACAGTCACAGTAACAATGTGTGTGTGTCATGTGAAGAGATGAAGAAACTACAGTTGAGTAATTAGCCCAAGATCACATAGCCATTAGTGACAGAGTCATGACTTGTAGCCATATCTAGCTTCCAGAGAAAAGCGTGGCCAACCGGTAGATTTACCATGTTAATCTTCAATTTCAGAGTCCCTCATTTGTGAATGCAGAAGTTGAAATGTTCAGGGTAAAATTAGAAAGCTGTATTGTAACTAGAAACCATTTCTAGATAAGCATTTTGGGAAATTGCTGATGACTTCTTGTAGCTTATTTTGTTAACAAAATATTGTAAACAAATATTCATTTTTGTAATTGAACAATATATATCTCTGAAAAACTGGGAAGTTCAGCCATCAGAGAAGACTGAAAGAAAAGAGCATGCTGGTGCTTGTCTGTAATTCCAGCACTCAGGAGGCAAAGGCTAGAGGACTACAAGTTGCCAGACAGCCTGGGCTACAGTGAGTTTCAGGCCAGCCTGAGTTACAGTGTGAAACCCTGTCTCAACAACAGAGTTAAAAATGGCGTGCTTATAAATAAGTCCGTCTAGTTTCATGTTGTTGAGTCGTGCTATGAGGAGAAGAGGAACCATTTCTTGAAATAGTCTAAGGAATTTTGACCTTATCCTCTCCGAAGTTTTCAACCTCAGCAGTACATAGGAACTGGTAGATCTTGGGAAGAGCTGACTTCTCTTTATTTTTAAAAATGCCAGAAATGGTTCAGATGCATACATAGTGATACATGCAACAAAAAGCTATAGAATGTGGAACATGGAAGTGAAATAATAAATGTGTATTTTTAAGGCTTACGTGGATGGAGATACAAACTCAGCATGGTCCAGACCAGTGAGTGCATAATAATGCATTATTAGTTCTCATAACTCCTATGTTGAAATGTATGCTAGGGATATGTGTTTATCATTGCTTTTAAAAGTACAGCTTTTGTTTCTCTGTTGTTTATTTCACTAGAACAGATTTCCAGGAGTTGAGTCAAAAGAAATTAATAGTTTGGCCTCAATAAATTATTGTAATGGATAACAATTTACAGTTTTAAGTAGGACCAAATAGGATGTTCAGAATAATTTTGCTAGGTTTAAGAAAAAAAAAAACTTAGAATTTTTATTACACTAATGTTATTTTATAATTGGAAATAAATTATCAAAACAATGTTTATATTGTGTTTACAGCATTATTTCATAACTGAATTTATCTTTAATAGATTGACGAACTCCCAGAGGGAGCTGTGAAGCCTCCAGCCAACAAGTATCCTATCTTCTTTTTTGGTACCCATGAAACGTAAGTTAACAAAATAGCTTTAAGTTTCAACCTCTCTAATTTGACTCCACTAGATTACATACTTATCCATGATCTATACTACTCCACTAGATTACATACTTATCCATGATCTATACTACTCCACTAGATTACATACTTATCCATGATCTATACTATTTTATATGTTGTTAGTCATTATATCCACTTCTAAAGTAACCAAACTTTTTTTTATTATTGTAAGGTATATTAGTTATTTTTGCATGTTGTAACAAAGTAAAACACAACAGAAGCAACTTTAGGAAGATACGTTTATTTTGCTTCATGGCTTCAGTTCATCACAGCAGAGTCTGTGTCAGCAAGAATATTTGGTTATAGAGATTTTTGTTGTTGTTGTTATTGTTGTTTGTTTTTGTTTTTCGAGACAGAGTTTCTCCGTGTAGTTTTGGTACCTTTCCTGGATCTTGCTCTGTAGACTAGGCTGGCCTTGAACTCACAGAGATCCACCTAGCTCTGCCTCTCGAGTGCTGGGATTAAAGGCGTGCACGCCACTGCCGCCCATCTGGTTGTAGGTTTTTGCAGGGTGGACTAGGACATGTAGAAAAGACAAGCCAGGGGCAGAGATGGGTATAGCTTAAAAGGTGTGTTTCTAACGACCTATCATTTCAGGCCTCACCTCATAAGACTCCACAACTTCCCAAATTAGCATCACCATCTGGGAACTAAATGTTCGAACATATGAGCAGAGGAGAGGGGGCATTTCAAATTCAAACCATAAAATAAGTTGTTATTCATAGAAGTCTTGATTACTGAAAACACATCTTTGCTTTGAATGCCGTTTCTGTTTCTATTTTAAATATTGGTTATCAACCCAAGGTCTCCTTTCAGGACACTTGTAAAGTCCTAGAGTGGTTGACTTAGCACTCCCAGTAACCCCTTTTGGAACTCTATAGATGTCCCCTTTAGAGAAGCTTCTTCCACTCATTTTTTATAGGACAAAGTTATGTTCTCTCAAGCTCTTTCAACTTTAGACCTAAAACAAATATACTGCCATTTTAAGGTTTCCTAATTACATTTGTTAATATATAGATTCAAGTAATATAGACATTTATTTTCTTCTTTTACAATAATACAGAAGTGGGCACAGGTCAAGTAGAGAGACAGATTGCTCTAAGAACTCAGCACCCTCTCTCAGACCCCACCATTCCTTGATGTGTTACTCTTGTGTGCTTTTGTTTGTGAGAACCTCACTCTGTAGACCAGCCTGACTTTGAGCTCACAGAGATCCCCCTGCTTCTGCCTCCTGAGTACTGGGAGTAAAGTCATTTGCCTTCACGAAGACCCAGCTTGTTTGCATATTTTTAAATATTAACATGCTTCAGTTGTACATGTGCATCTTCTACGGAGAGGGGAGGAGAGAAGAAGAGTGAAAAACAAGGATGCCTTGGAAGGAAATGGCAAGAAAGGCCCCTAGATGACTTCTGCTTGCTTTCGTTCCGTTGTCAAGAGTTTGCTCATGGAGTCACACACAGCAATGCGGAAGCTGGGAAATGGTCTCCAGCTGGGCAGTTCTAAAGTATGGGGAAGTGATCTGTTAATGAAAAAAGAGGAGAGTGACACTGGGGGGCAATTGGTAGCCTTGCCACACTCTGACTGTGTCATTTATTTTCATTTAAATGTTACAGAGTTTGGCATGAATCTTAGCTTGCTATTTCTCCCGTTCTAACTTCACTTCATTCTGATCTCGAAAGCACCACAATAAAGGCCTGAAGACAGATTTATTTTCTTATGTTAGAAATAGTGTATATCTTTCAGGAAATAATATTTTGTAAGGGCTTTTTGGTATTGTTTTGAGTTTAGTTTGTTGTTGGTCTGTGTGTGTGTGTGTGTGTGTGTGTGTGTGTGTGTGTGTGTTTTGCTGGACTAGCTGCAAGTCCTCAAGGAGGCAAGAAGCTAAACACAAGTCCTATTTTCATCAAATAAACACTGTATATATGCCTTTTCTTGGGCTACTAGAAAGCTTAGAAGTAAATGTGTTACCTATAAATACATAATGCTTTGTGATATGTATTTTATTTATCTCACTCCTGACATTATTTTATGTGCATACCATTGTTCTGATTTTTCCTTAGAATAACCTATTCCAAATTATCTGGTTGCATTTTTGGGCCAAGGCAGAAGTTAATTTAAAAAAAAAAAACCACACTTCTACTGTATGCACCATTTACTAAAATTATGTGTTTACTTTTATTCCCTTGGGAAGTATTTGTTTTTTAAGGCATTCTGTAAGTCACTGGAAGTAGAAAGGTGCCCTTAAAGATCTACCAGCTGGCAATACAAACTTTAGGCAGCTTAACCCACACTTATTTCCTGTACATAGATCAATGACTGAAGAAAATCAAAAGCCAGAGTAATAACTCTTGTCAACTTTCCTTGAAAGTCAACTAGCCATATGCAGTGTCCATTTTTTCTCATGTTTATGTTGTTCATCAAATAAGACTTCAACCCATCCCTCAAAAATTTTATTTTGGTTTTGTGTTTTGAGCATTTTCATTTCCCCTCCCCCCAACTCTTCCTGGACCCACACCTTCTTCTCTACTCATTTAACTTTGTGTCTTTTCTTTTTAAACCACCAAGACCAATTTGTACTGCCCAAATAGTCTTGGATGTGTGGTGTCTTAGTTAGGTTTTCTATTGCTGTGACGAGACACCATGACCATGACAACTCTTATAAAGGAAAACTTTTAATTGGAGTGGCTTACATTTTCAGAGGTTTAGTCCATTTTCATCATGGTGTGTGACATGGTGGTGTGCAGGCAGACAGAATGCTGGAGAAATAACCAAGTGTCCTACATCTTGACTTGAAGGCAACAGGGTGTGGTCTGAAACACTGGGTGTGGCTTGAGCATATATGAGACCTCAAGGCCCGCCTCCACAGGGACATACTTCCTCCAACAAGGCCATACCTACTCCAAAAATGCCACACCCCCTAATAGTGCCACTCCCTTTGGAGGCCATGTTCTTTAAAACCACCGCATGTGGTCTTCCTGGAGTATGGTTGACTACCAGGTCTATACTCTTAGATAAAACTGTCTTTCCTTCTCCCTTATAGACAGGGTTTTACCTAGCCCGGAATGGGCTCAAACTCCTGCCTCCACCTCCCATGTGCTTTATAGGTGTGTACCAACACATTTAGTATAAATAGATTTGTTAGTTTATTTTTATTCAGCTGGATAGTGTGAGAGATCATTGCTATACCCAGTCAGAAAATGGAGTTTATGAATGGAGTTAACATGTTGACTGAAAGGTTTCAGTATCATCTTTGGCTGATTTCTAAATTTCTGTCTCCAGCTCATAGTTTTCTTTAATCTCCAGAGTGATCTTTCCAGCTCCCTACTTGATATCTTCTTTTGAATGTCTTAACTAGGACTTAAGTTTTTATACCTAACAATGAGCTCTACCCCAACTCTTTTCCTTCAAAAGAAAAATCATAACATTTCAGTAAATAACAGCTCCAGCTTTCTTATTTCTCATTCTGAAACCTTATAGATAACCTCAAATCCAGTTTCCATCAAAATTTCTTGCCTGAGAATAAGTTCTGGATTTGATATTTCTTCACCACCTATGCTCTGGCTCAAGCTGCCACCACTCCTTTATTTCGATAGCCTTCTATGACTTCTTGCTCACATCCTAGTAGCTAACCTTCACTTGGTTTCCGACATAACAGCCAGATGATGATACTGACATATTTCAGAACCTGTCATGGCTTCCCATATTACTTAATACCTTTGCAGTGTGCTCCAAGGCCCTCAGTGATCCGTCACTAACCTGTAACCTTACCCATACTGCTCTACTGTTACTGATTTCACTCCAGCTGCACTGGCCTCTTTGGTGTTTCTCAGACACATAATTCTTTCCCAAGTAACAGCACAGATGGCTCCTCCACCTCCTTTCCTTAGATGTTCCCTTTCTGGAGATGTCTTCCCCAATTTTTATAGCTACAATTGTAGAAGTCATCCCTAGTCTATCCCTCTGGGATGGCTAGTTTAATTGTCAACTCGACCCAGTCTAGACTCCCAGGGAAAGAGTTTCCATGAGAGATTATCTAGACTTAAGTTGTCTGTGAGGGGTTTTCTTAATTGGTTATTTGAGATAGAAAGACCCACCCACTGTGAGAGCACCATTCCCTAAGATGGACTTTATGCGTGTAGTGAGTTGAGCGTCAGTGTGCATGCATTGATTCATTAGCACCATTCCCTAAGATGGACTATATGCGTGTAGTGAGCTGAGCGTCAGTGTGCATGCATTGATTCATTAGCACCATTCCCTAAGATGGACTATATGCGTGTAGTGAGCTGAGCGTCAGTGTGCATGCATTGATTCATTAGCACCATTCCCTAAGATGGACTATATGCGTGTAGTGAGTTGAGCGTCAGTGTGCATGCATTGATTCATTGCTCTCTGCTCTTGACTATGGATGTGATGTGTCTAGCTGCTTCAGATTCCTTGACTTCCCTACAGTGATAGATAATAACCTCAACTGTAAGCCAAATAAACCCTTCCTTCCTAAGTTGCTTTGTCAGGATGTTTTATCACAGCAACAGGAAAATAAACTGAGATACCATCCCTCTTTGAATACAAGAAATATGTGTTTCATTTACCATCTTAAGTTCTACTGCCAGCACTGCTGTTAGCACCTGTGCTTCCTGAAGGCGGCAATGGCTGTGCCTTACTCTCTGAAATTCTCAATACCCTTGCAGCAACGCCTGACACGGTGTAGGTGTTTAACTGGTATTTGTTAAATTAATAGGTACATAGACTTTAATTTGAAATGTCTCAAGGATGTCAGCCAAAGTGAGCCTCAGTAGTCTCACACACTAGATTAAGATCACAAATAATGATGCTAAAGATTCTGTTTAGAGTGCCCCAGTCTGTTAGCTACAGAATTTAACTACTTTTTAATGCTTACAATTAATTTAGTTAAGAGAGATTTAAATTAGATACGATTCTATTTTCTTTGCTACTTCTGGGTTGTTCTCTCCCCCTTTTACTCAATTTACAGAAGTAATACTGGCTAACTATTCTAAAGAACTGTACGGAATTAAATCATTTAAATTCCTATTCTAACCCCACAAACCCTTACCTACAGTAAGATTAACATAAATACTAGTTTGAAATGGTAACTGAAGCAATCAAAGTAAATAGCTCTAGTTCCACCTGTGTAACTAGAAATCAGTTTTAAACAACTCATATTGGTAATATTAATGTAAAGTCAAATTGGACAGCCCAGAGTTGCTGGCTTTATATACTCAGATATCCATTTTTATTGCTTTGAAATATGTTTCTAAAACATCTTGTGATATGTGCTTAACCCACTGGGTTTATATATACTTTAAATATGTTTATTGTAATGTGCTCTGACATCATATTTGATCCTGATATTTAAAATACCTTGTATTTGAAAGTCAGCATATCAGTTCTATTTCTGATCTATCTCTGCAGTGCATTTCTAGGTCCTAAAGACCTTTTCCCATATAAGGAATACAAAGACAAGTTTGGAAAGTCAAACAAACGGAAAGGATTTAATGAAGGATTATGGGAAATTGAAAATAACCCAGGAGTGAAATTTACTGGGTACCAGGTAATAGTTTGCATCACAGTCTCTTGTTGTACTCTTATCCCTTGCTTTTAACTCTTGTGCATCTTTGTAAAATGTCCTTCATGCTAGTACTTGCCTTCCATTCATTTGAAGGCAGAGTTCTTCTTTGGCTCTAGCAGCAGTTTTTTATTAAGTACCAACTCCTGCCCGGAAGAGTCTGAGTTAAGTGGCCGTTGAAAAATTGACTTTGACAGCCATTTGGTTCATTAATTGAATCAGGATTTCACATGCTACTGAGGTTAGCTTCTAATTCTTGGCTACAAGCAACCCTCCTACCTCAGCCTCCCGAGTAGCTGGAATTAGAGGTGTGTGCCACTATGCCTGGCTGTCATAGTCCTTTATTTTGAAAATGTTAAAAGCAGGCCAAAGTCTTTGAAATTTAAACAGAGTGATTGTTTCCACAGTTTGTGTTCTTGTTCTTTTTCAAAATGTAATTGGCTGATTTTTTTTCCTTAGACAATTCAGCAACAGAGCTCTTCAGAGACTGAGGGAGAAGGTGGGAATACTGCAGATGCGAGCAGTGAGGAAGAAGGAGACAGAGTGGAAGATGGAAAAGGCAAAAGGAAGAATGAGAAAGGAGGCTCCAAACGGAAAAAGTCCTACACTTCAAAGGTCACTGAAAACCTCCCTCCCGCTGCTAATGTTCCATACTCACTAAAGGCTGAAGATTGGGTGGGAGGTATAGTTCCTTGGCAAAGTGCTTGTCTAAAGCATGTGATTCAGCCCTGCCCTCCACCCCACCCCACCCCACCCCCACACACACTACAAACTTTAGAGGCAGTCATATACCAGAGAGAAAGGCAGAAAGCCTGAGGTGTTAGGGGAGTCACTCCTGACTCTTCAAGGCTGTACCCTGAAAGTACTACATGCTTAGTTGAAGGAGGAAGGCTAAGCATACAGGTAAGCTGCTCCAGACACTGAGTTGAACTGGGTGTGCAGGAGTGAGGAAATCCGACTCCATAAAAAGGGAGAGGGGTACAATAAACAAGTAAATAATAAATAAATGTAGATTGTGAAAGGAGTTAAGAAGGAAGTGAATGAGATCAAGAAAACCCAGAGTTGGGAAGCGAAGGTGAAGTTTCTGCTAAGACTTGAGAGAAGGGTGTGGGAGGGAGCCGCGTGTGGCAGAAGGAGAGGAACAGCAGAACTGAGAAGGTATAGTTCCTTAGCAAAGTGCTTGCCTGGAACATCTGACTGCACCTGACTCGGCACAGGTAGACAGGTCAGTGCTACACAGTGCAGACTTGTAAGCTGTATAATTGAGTTTGGGTTTTATTCCGAATGTAGCAGCAATGACATGATGGCAGATTTACGAATGGAAAGACTGGGTTTGTTATACAGTATTTTAGATATGCAGTCAGAAAAACCTTGAGATTTATGAAAACTTTTTGTCTTTTAGAAACTGAAAGCAAGATAAATGGATCCTTGACGACCTAAGATTGGTTCAGGATTCAGTAGAGTCTGTCACATGATTGAGTACTTGAAAGTATTCTATTTCAATTCTTGTATTTATTGGCTGTATATACTCTCAGAGACACCTGAGAAAACAAGTACCAAGAGCTTCTCAGACTATTAGGATTTTACTTTGGTAGTTGTTAAAATCCACCTACTAACATATAGGTGAAAGTGTGTCCATTCATTGTTATTTCCTATGTACCTAGTTGTATTATTCACTATACACCCTTATTGATTGCTAACATGCTTGCGAGGGCCGAAGCGATGGTTCAGTAGGTAAAATGCTTACTGCACACACATGAGAACCAAGTTTCGATAACCTGGCAGCCACCTGAAGTCTGGGCCATGTGTCTGTAACCCCTGAGCCGGCAGGATAGGTGAGACAGGATGGTCCCTTGAAGGGGCTTGCTAATCAGCCTGTCTGGCCCAATCAGGGAACTCCGGGTTCAGTAAGAGACCCTACCTAAAAATATAAGGTAGATTCAGGACCTTTGAGGCCATTCATGTTCCATATACACACAGGAAGCACTACATGAATGCAGTGGGTGTTAAATTAAAAAAAGGCACAAAAGCACTTGGAGGGGGAAATAGTGGGAGGGAAAGAGGAGGAGGAGTTGGACACATGTGCACACACATACACACATGTAACACAATAAGCAAACAAAAATGATTGCCTTTGATGGGGCTAAAGTTTACAAATGATTAAAAAAATATGAATTTCCCCTCTCAGACTGTTTCTTCCATTGCCGTTATTTTTAAGCTGAATTTCTGTTAGCATTTGGGTTTCACTTAATCATTCATTTGAGTTATTTTTACTTAATTGATTGATTGTATGGAATGTGTGTGTAACCCTAAATTATATGAAAGCTACATAAGGCTTCAGACACTTTTCACAGTGGACATGTTCCCTTGCCATGTCACTATTTCGTTGCATGTTTCAGAGATCAACAGGACCGAGACTCAGAGTTAGGATAGAGTCAACACTTTACAGCAGGGAAGGTGAGGGCTGAAGTGTGTCTGGTTAAAGGATTGTTTAATTTTAATTCAATAGAATGAACTAGTAAGAACTGTGTTGATTTTTTACCGTTGCTGGCTTTGCACCATGTTAGGAAGTCAACTCAAGTCCTTGTGCATATGAGGCACCTATTCTACCACCTGAGCTACTTCCCAGCCCAGAATTCTAACTTTGTATAGACATTTGTGTGTTGGAGTGGGCTGTGTGTATTTATTTGTTTGTTTCCTTGTAGAGGGTCTATCTCTGTAATCCAGACTAGCCTGAAACTCAATTTATATGCCAGACTAGACTTGAACTCATGGTATTCTTCCTGCCTCAAACTCCCAAAAGATTTGATTACAGGTATGAGCCAAAAAGCCCAGTCAGACTGTAGCTTTTTTTTTTTTTTTTTTGGTTTTTTGGTTTTTTGGTTTTTTTTCAAGATAGGGTTTCTCTGTGTAGCTTTGCGCCTTTCCTGGAACTCGCTTTGGAGACCAGGCTGGCCTCGAACTCACAGAGATCCGCCTGGCTCTGCCTCCCGAGTGCTGGGATTAAAGGCGTGCGCCACCACCGCCCGGCCAGACTGTAGCTTTTTACTGTTAATGTCACATAGTGGGTCTCAGACTTTCTGTGTATCAGAGTCCTGTGAAATGCTGTTGGCATGCCTTAAGGCCCCCAGAACTGCTGTTTCAGAACTTTAGGAAAGAGTGGGGGATCTAGTTTATAAGCCTGCTCATGGAAATGATACTTGGAGAACTACTTTCTACTATAACCCTGCTACTCTCTGGATTCCCAGTGTTTTCTTGGTGTTGAATATAGTGAATGTCTCTTAAGTTGAGTAGTCTGCCTTTGCACTTGAAAACCTTCTGTAACATCCCAGTCAGGTAAAGGGATTATCTCACATCTCCTCTATTTACCGAATTTCATTGGCCTGTGAGTGGAAAAAACTCAATAATCAAAATAAGAAGCCAAAGTACAGCAGATCTGAGGAAAATTATGTATCTTTTAACAGCAAGTATATAGCTGATTCATGTTAAGGAATCGCTAGCGGATACTGGAAAAGTGTAGATTAAAAGTACTCTATATGCAAAGGATCTACAGTTAAGGCTTATCAGATCCTTACAACAAATTAAACTAGAAAAGAAGCTAAAAGAGCAAGAATTTTATATAAAAAAAAGCAACTATTTGGCATAAAACCAATTCAGTACCATACTGATAAAATATAATAAACACCATTTTAAAAGAAACTTAGAGGAGTAATGATCTGAAGAGCTTTACAGAGTTAGTTTGGCACCCAGATTTCCTGCTGAGATACTAAATATCATCACTCATTAGTAGAAATCGAGTAGTGCCCTGGTTCCCATTGGTATGAGACTTGGTATTTGTGTCATGCCCTCCACAGGCATTTTATGTATATTAGGATACTGTACAGGAGGGTGAATGTCTGTAACCCCAGCCCTCCCCTCGGGAGATAGAAGGATCACAAGCTCCTCTGTCACAAGTATCAGGTCAGGGCTATTATTTGAGGATAACTGGTTAATGCAGTTAGCACATTTCAAATGATACATAATGTCTACTAAAATGAAAAAGTTACTTTTATACTGTCATATGTCATTAACTGAACATGCTCCAAACTTTGTAAATAAATCTGTTTTTAATCTAAAAGGTAAAAATGATAACATTTTAAACTAACGTTTTGAGTGTGATTGGTAGTTTTAATCAAGTAAAATAGAAGCAGTCTAATTATGTGTTCTGTTATGTAACTAGAATATCTTTCTCTTTGTATTTTAAGTGTGTGTGTGTGTGTGTGTGTGTGTGTGTGTGTGTGTGTGTGTGTGTGTATTGCCTGCAGACAACAGAATGGGACATTGGGTTCCCTGGAACTGGAGTTAATGAATGGTTGTTAGCCACCATATCAGTGCTGGGAACTCAACCCAGATCCTCTGCAAGTAAGCTCTTTTAACCACTGAGCCATCTCACCAGCCAATCTCTGCATTTAAAGAAGTAGATTATGTGTGTAAGAGGCTGGAGAGATGGCTCAGAAGTTAAAAGCACTTATTGTCCTCGTAGAGAGCCAGACACACACACACACACACACACACACACACACACACACACACACACACACACACAAATAAAATAAAATAATTTTTAAGAACTGATTTATGAGGGGGCTCCAGTTTGCAAATTCATTACTGGAAGGCCAAGAAAAATGATTTGGTTTAGTCGACTTACCTTAGTTTTTGTTTTTAAAGTACTTGAAGATTGATTAAAAAATATTTCCCCTCTCCCCTTTTTCCTTTTTTCCTAGAGAAACTGCTTTATGTACTCCAGGTTGGTCTCAAGCTCGTTATGTAGGCCAGTGACGTCCTTGAGCTTGTCATCATCCTCCTTCCTCTATCTCCCGAGGGGAGGACTGGGATTACAGACATTCACCCTCCTGTTCAGTATATATAGTTTGGGGGAGCAAACCCAGGGTCTCCTGCATGCTAGTCAGGCACTCCTAACTGAGCTACAATCCCAGCCCTTACAACTTCTTAAGAGAAATATGGATTTAATAGATAGAAGGGCAAGCTGGTCAAGTCCCAAATATGTTAAAAGGACTGCATGTGAACAAACAGCTTAGCTTTTGTGTTTTCTGCCTAGTGGTCATTGTTTATTATTTATATGCTTGGAATTAAACTTGTTTTTTACTTTAAAAAAAAACCCTAAGAGCAGTCATCATGAGACTCAGTTGGTGACGGCACTTGCCACCAAGCCTGATGACCTGAGTTAGACTCAGGAACCACATGATGGAAGGAGATGTTCTCTGACTTCCACACATGCCATGGTAGGTGCATGCACTCATACAAATACATACTCATGCACAATAAGTACATCTAGTTCTAAAAAATTCAAAAGTCTTTTAAAAGGAAATGTTAAAAATGATACATTTCACCATTATAAATAAGACACACAACTGAAGCCATCTTTTTCTAACTTTAGTACTATTCTGCCAAGCAACTTTTGTTGCAAACTATAATTTGATTTCAAATGCAAGATAACAAAGACAATGGACTGGTTCGTCAGTATACTCTTGGTGTTTAAGTAATTACCCATAGTTTAAAGATTAAATTGCTTGTGTCATGCTGCGATACAGAAGCTTTGTCAGGGTCTTTCTGTGTATGTCCCTAGCCAAACAGCTGCAGAGACATTCTACCTTGAATGCCATGTGTTGTCTTGGAAAGTTCACCTCGATTCTCCGGAACTTGGTTTCTGTTACTATAACGTGACTTTCAGTTCTGAAAGTCTCCTAAGGTTGTAGGTACTCACCTAGTTGTATTTAGTCATGCTGTGGGTATCTGTATAGTCCAGTTTTTAATATCATACTTCTTGCAAGAAGTAAAATGACCTAGCCCAGCCTTAGCACACTGAGTGTGTTCCCTGTATGTGCTACATCGAGCACATAGACTACATGCAAACCAGCTCCTTGTGCCCTCTTTCCTTACAGTTGTGCAGTTGGAGCCCTGCTTCTGACTCTAATCTCTGACTTGTCTAAATGTTTAGAAGTCTTCTAAACAGTCCCGGAGATCTCCCGGAGATGAGGATGAGAAAGACTGCAAAGAAGAGGAAAACAAAAGCAGCTCGGAGGGCGGGGACGCCGGCAGTGACACCAGGAACGTGACTTCAGACTTGCAGAAAGCCGGGGAAGGGGTGAGGACGGCTGATGGCTTCCTTATCCCCGTCACCTAGACGACTTCCCTCGGGAAGTCAGCATTCACAGAGCCCGAGTGAGTGGTCAGGTAACGGTTAGTCCGAGGACAGAGGAGAGCCATGTGGACATGATACCTCCCTGGGAAATTGGAGCTCTGAATATTTATTATTTTTCAAACTACTTTAGAAACTTCTGAGTATTTTAAAGTAGTTTGCAAATTATTGAAATTTAACAGTTCTGTTTCTTTCATCACAAAGTCAATGGCATATGCAAAATATAATACTAGTATTCAAGCTATATTTCAGTACTGATACTGAAAAGACCTACAGAAACAGGTTTCCTTCCTGACTCTTGCTAACTTCTGTTGACTAGCATTAGAGGCAGGGCCGCCTTTGTAGAAGTGGTAGTAAAGGTGGTCATTTGTGCACCTGGGCATTTCCCATCTCTTTTTTTCTCTGTAGACCAGTTGTGTTCAGCTGAGACTTGAGCGGTGCACACTAGCCTTACAGGATTGACTGGCAGCCTGCAGTTGATTGAATGAGTGAATGAGTGGTGAAAGCTGGGAAGCGCACTGCTGTCCTCTCTTAGCTGACTCTATAGCTCTTCTTCCGCTCTCACAGTCCTGGCTGCCTCTCAGCCTCTCCTCTCTTCATCTAGTCAGCTGGCATTACTCTGGAGGACGCTTTGCAGCTCTTCTCTCACTCCTGTCGCTCAGGTAGCCTGCCCCAACCTCCTCCTTCTCCTCCTCCTCCTCCTCCTCCTCCTCCTCCTCCTCCTCCTCCTCCCCCTCCTCTTCCCTTTCCACTCAGTTTTTGAGACAGGGTCTTGTGTGCACCCCACTCTGGCCTAGTACTCACTGTGTAGCTCAGGCTGGCCTCAAACTCATGGCCTCGTGCCTCAGCCTCCTGAATACTGGGTCTGCAGGGTGCATCCCCACACTTGGCCTGCCACCCTCTCTTGCAGCGTTTAATGCCATTAGGCACTTTCTCCTCCTTACTCTTCTTACCAGTCACCATTCTCTTCTGCTTCCCCTGTCTCCTAGAGCTCTCCTTCATCAGTCTATCATGGTATGCTTCCTTAAAAGTTCCCACATTCACCGGACATGGTGGCGCTTGCCTCTGACCCCAGCACTCTCTGGCCCCTGAATTTGAGGCAGCCTGGTCTACATAGTGAGTTCCAGGACAGCCAGGGGGCTACAGTGAGAAACCCTGTCTCACAAAACAGAACAAACGAACAAAAGTTCCTATTTCCATCTTTATCAACATTGTTCAGTTTGGCTTGTTTATGAATATTTTTTAATGATGACTTTACTCACTACTGTGTTTTTAAGGTTCATTCATTTGGTTATATATAGCAGCAGATTTGATTTTTTTAATTAAAAAAAGTTATTAATTGGGGTGGGGGATGTCACAGCTTGCTGTGGTGCATGTATGGAGGTTCCAGGACAACTTTCAAGAATCCATACTCTCACATGAATCCTGGGGATCCAGCTCAGATCTTGGATACCTTTACTAACCAAGCCATCTTGGCAGCCCTTATTCCTTTTTCAGTGCTGTATAATTGTCAGTTTATATAGCATATATAATGGAATGTGAATATGCCACAATTTATATGTATATTCAGTCTGCTGTTAATGGATATTTGGGCTGTTTCCAGTTTTGAGTAGTTTAGAACTATATTGCTGTAAGCATTTTGTCTGCTAGTGTGCATGCTCAAGTTTTCTTAGTATGCAACTAGAACTGAAGATGCTGAAGTACAAGTTTATGGCTTTCAGTTGGACCAAGTCACTTTCGGGAGGAGTCGCCCAGTTTATGCTCAGACCGACAGTGCCAATAGTGTGTTAAAGCCCCAAAGTTATCTTGGTGTCATCTGACTTGGATTTTTGACAACATATTGCTCTAAAATAATCATTGCAGCATGAATTTATAATGCAGTATGATCAGTGAGAAGCTTCTTTTTATGTGTGTCAACTGGCCATGTTTCTTCTCCACGATACACATTTCCAGGGTTTTGCCTATTTTCCCACTAGGCTTTTTTCTTACTCATTTATAGGACTTTGCTTACGCTGTACAATACTGTTTAATGTTTCTGTCCTATCAGTTCACTTTCTTTTGCTTTAAAACAATACTTTCTTTTATGTAGTTGGCTGTTTACTCTCTTTGTGTGGTTAGTATTTTCTGTCTTGAAGCATAACTCTTTTAGACATCTTACTGGAATCATCTGTCACAGAGTATGAGTCTCGGCCTGGATTCACTCATGTGCCTTTGGTCAGTGAGCCTTGAAATGAATAGTAGCTCTCTAATGAGTCATGATATTTCATTTGTTTGTTTTTTTTTTTTTTGGTTTTTCGAGACAAAGCCAACAACCTCATAGCAAACTTATTTTTAAATATGCAGTAGTCACGAGCTGGGATAGAATGTCAAAGGACCTTTTTTCTTGGTGCACAGTCTTCAAGAATGGTTCAATAGATGAAGTATCAAAGGAAACTATGAGATGAGTACACATCATGAGAGAGTATTAGACCCAGATACAGAGAAATGGGTCCCTGGGAGGAGAGCTCATGAAAAAGTCTTGTGTAGTCACTTCTGTTTTCCAAGGAAACAGGGTCATCACTTGAGGGGGTGCAGGAAAAATTGTTGAAGTTCCAAAAGAGAGGAAGAGGTTTAAAATAGTCACTTAGAAGACTAGGAGAGTGAATGGACTTGAGAAATGAAGGTGATTGTTAAGACAGCAGGACCCACTTGGGGTTTGTGGGCATGAATTTGAAGTAAGCAGTGGGAGCGACTGTGTTTGCTCCAGGCAGATTGAGCTGTGCGGGCACACAGAGGGCAGAGAATTGAATTCAGCTGGACTACAGTACAGGAGGTTGAGGACAGGGAGCTCAGTCTGCGGGAAAGGGAGGGGATATAGAATCCAAAGGATGTTAATTTGTTAATTGGATCTTTTTAATGTTCAGTTTTTGCAGTTTCTCATACATTCTAGATACTAACCTCCGGGAAATGCATACTTGGCCAAGATTTTTTCCCACTCTGGGGTTCCGCCCACCTTCCTGAGCTCTTCCTTCACTTTGTAGTTTCCTATGATCCTGTCCATCAGTCCTTGGGACGATTTCTCACGCTGTTAACGCCTTCAGAAAGTCGTTGCTGTGTCTCAAAATACTTTGCCTATGTTTTCCTTCACTTTTTTTAGGTTAAAGAAAGTGTTGAGAATTTCAGACATATGTATAATGTGTTTTGATCAAACACACTTCCTATTTCTTCCCCTCCAGTTCCTCCCCTTTTCCTTAACACCACTTTCTCCTCTCAACCGTATGTGCTTTTTTTCTCTAACATTTTCAAATTACTAGGTCTTACATAAAAATCTTTGATCCAGTTTTGAATTTATTTTTATAAAGGGTGAGATACAGATTTAGTTTCATTCTCCTACAGGTGTATATCCAGTTTTCCTAGAACTATTTATTGAAAAGGCAGTTTCCTCCTAATATATGTTTTGACAGAAATAAAGATTGGGTGGCTGTGATGTGGTGGCTTTATTTCCAGGTCCTCTGTCTTCTATCTATTCCATTGGACTTCATGTCTGTTTCGGTGCTGGGACCACACCGTTTGTGTGGCTCTGCAGGATAATCGGAGATTAGGCCTTTTGATCCTGCCAGCACTGTTCTTTCTGTTTGGAATCACTGTGGCTAGTGGAGGTCCTTTGCATTTCCAGCTGTATTTTAGGATTGTGTTTTGTAATTCATTGAACAGTGTTGTTGGTGTTTGGGTGGGAATTGTATTGATATGTATATCACTTTCAGTAATGTAACCATTTTCACAATACTGATTCTGCCAGTCCATGAGCTTAGAACCCTTCCATCTCCTGGTTTCCAATTTCTTTCTTCGGTGTCTTTAAGTTGTCATTGTGAAGGTCTCACACCTCCTTGCTTAGAGTTATTTCTGGGCATTTTACTTTTCCTAGTGCTATTACAAATAAATAAGATGGTTTTCTCTGATTCTCCACAAACTCTTTATCAGTGTATAACAAGTTTTCTGATTTGGGTATGTTGTTTTTGCATCCTGCTAATTAATGTTTATCTGGTCTAAGGATTTTCTAGTGAAACCTTTGAGATTTTTAAGTATAGGATTGTCAGGTGCATATAGGGATGATTTCTTTCTTCCCTGTTTGTAGCTCTTTCATTTCTTATCTTGTAAAGAGTAGTGTCCTAAAAAGGTACTTGCATTAGGAATCTGTCTGGTTTCATTCTGTTCCTGTGATAAAAACACTGACCAAAAACAGCTTGAAGAGGAAAGGGTTTATTTGTCTTACATTTCAGGTCACAATCCATCATTGAGGGAGGGCAGGGCAGGAACTCAAGCAAGGCAGAAGAAACCATGAAGGAATGCTGTTTGTTGGCTCATGCACTGACTCTCTCACTGGTTTGTGGTCAGCTAGCTTCCTTACACAGCCCAGGACCACCTGCCTAGGGATGATGCTGACCACAGTGGCCTGGGCCCTCCCACATCAATCATGGCCACAGATGATCTGATCTGGGAGGTCTCTCAATTGAGACTCCCGTAGATGACACTAGGCTGTGTCAAGTTGACAGCTGATGCTGACTAGGAGAGGATCTGAGCTATTCACGTTTTGGTTCAGTACAATCCCTTAGACTATTTGGACCTCACATAGCTTTCACTTGTTTGGAAATACTGGTTACTATCAAATGCTGATCTGTTTAGTATATTTTAATCATGTCTCTAAATATCACTATCTTTTAGAATTCTTTAAATGTCAAGAAGCTGTCACATGGAGGATTTAAAATAATAATTTTCACTTAAATAATCAAATTTTATCACTGGCAACAAATACTGTCTATTTTTCCTATGAATTAGTAAGTCACTATATTTTTTACAAAGTGGCCAATACTAAAGCTTGTTATTAGTGTATAATAACTACACAGATTCATTAAGAAGTTTTCATCCATTTATACCATTATTATATTTACCCAGGCCTGGTCCCCTCCCACATCCAGCTTATCCCTTTCCTGTATTAAATCTGGAATCTGTATATGGTTTTTTAAAAGCCTTATTTGTCTTTCTAAGTCTTACTTACATCATTGTGTTCCAGTCATTTTCCTTCAAACAGCATAGTTTCATTCTATGACTAAAACTGTGTGTGTGTGTGTGTGTGTGTGTGTGTGTGTGTGTGTGTGTGTGTGTGTGTGTATCAAGTTTTCCTTATCCTTTCATAAGCACCTAGCATGATTCTGTAACTGAACTGTTGTGAGTAAGTGCCACAGTAAACATGGGTGTACAGGACTTCTACTGTATGCTTTGATTCTTTGTGTGTATATTCAGGAGTGGTATATATGATCAGTAATTCTGTCTTCTTGTTGTTGCTTTTAATTTGTATGCATGCATGCCTGCACATGTGTACACCAGAGGGCAACATTGAAAATTCTCCATCACTCTCAACTTCTTAAAAAAAAAAAAAAAAAAGACAATTTCTCACTGAACCTTAAGCTCACAGATTTTGCTAGGCTGGCTGACTGGCTAGTGCCTTCCTGCACCCCCACGCCCATCTCTGCTTTCCTCTACAAGCATTGGCATTACCAATACACACTGCTACACCCAGCTGTACACGGGTGCTGGGGATCCGAACTCAGGTCCTCACACTTGAGCAGCAAGCACTTTCCTCACGGAGCATCTCCCAGCCCTTATTTTTAGTCTTTTGAAAACCCTCCATACAGATTGCATAGTAGCTCTGCCAGTTTGTTTCCCCAACAGTGTGTTAGGGTTCCATTTTCCACCTGCATCCTCAGCAGCATTTGTTGTTTGTTTTCTTGATGAGAGATAGCCGTCCCTACTGGGATGAGATGGAGTCTCACTGTAATTTTGACTTGCATCTTACTGCTCAACTCACCAAATATCCAAATCTTAACATCAGTTTTTTTCACTTAAAAATGGTACTCCATGAAAAAATCCTTTTGGCTTCTGCCTGCCGTATTTTGGGTATCCAAAGCCTTTCAGTGTGCCTCCCATTAAAATACCTCAAGGTAGAATCTGGATCAGTCAGCATCCAGATGTCAGTCAGCATATCCATGCAAGATACAAAAGATGACCACAAAGCATGAGCACCACAATGGCTCTTTAGGTAGAGAAGTATCAGGCCTGGCAGATACCTAGAGTCCTATGTCCAGTATAGATACTGGTAGTCCTGAATTAGAAATGACTAGAAGTGAGTACAGCAGTCATCACAGACATTTGAAAGTCAGAGACTCTGCAGTTGCTCCACAAGCACCGTTTGACAGTGCCTTATTTAAAAATAGAGGTGTGTTTCCTGAAGTCACATTAGTGCCATCACCTCTTCAGTTCATTGACAGTACTCTGAGACTACTGTGGATCTGCTTCAAAATATTCTTTAATGTGAATAGAGCTGTTAAAGGACTTTCCTGCCACATAAACATAGAATTTAGTGCCTTTTACATTATATTAATAAAATATACTGTTGACGGTTTCTTTGATTGATTAACAATTTCTTATTATTTGGGTATCTTCCTCCTTCCAAAGGAAGAGAGTCCTCCTAAGTATCTGTGAGTATAACCATATGTATAGTATTTTCATTTATTAATAAATAAGTCAATTTCCAGACATTGCATTTTTCAGATTCACAGGTTGTAAATATGATTTAAAAAAAAATAAAGATCCACTAGCTTCCTTGTTTGGGGTAGGGGCAGAAAAGTTAAGAAGTCTATCTTTGTCCCCTGTAGAAATGGTAAGCTTGATCTCTTCTCTCCTTGTGAAGGTCCTATAGTGATTTGCTAGGGTAAGTATGGCAGGCTTTGGTTAAATGGGGACATCACATGCACGTGTGTTATTTGTGAGATAACTCGCGCTGTTTTAGGGGAAAATATTTGGGGTCTGGGTTCCCTTTTCCCCATCCCGTGAGTGGTTAATATTTTTAGGTTAATAAGATGGAAAACAAAAATAGCATCTCCTTGGGGAAGTATAACCTGACACAATTTAAAGTGGGGTCTAAATCGAAATGCGATTCTTGGGTCTGTGAGAGGGCTCAGTGGATAAAGTTACTTGCCACAGAGCCTGAGGACCTGAGTCCTGATCCCAGAATCCACATGGTAGGAGAGAACCTGCTCCTGTAAGTTGTCAGCTGACCTTCACGTGTGCTCTGTGGCCTGCACACACAAATAGACACACATGAAACCTAATATAGAAAACTAAGTTAAAATTGTAATTCTTTTATGAAACAGGAATAATTTATCTTTGTCAAATGTATGCCATATAAAGTTTAAAAGAAATCTAGACTTTGTTTCATCTTCTATTCTTTTCTTCAGAAGCACAACCAAAGACTAGACATACTGATGTTGTTAACTTTTGTACTCTGTTATGCCGTGTGTGCCACAAGTAACTAAATATTTTGGTGATCTGTGTGCAGCCATGTGATTTTCAGTTTTCTGCAGCTTACTGTTCTAACAGTACGGTCCTACTACACAGATTATATCTATTTTAGTGGCTTTGTGTCTACCTGCAGTAAACAGTTCCTTGCACACTATTACACCTTCCTCCCTACCAGAGAGTAGACAGTTTAATTTCGTTTTTGTTTTTTGAGACAGGGTTGTTTCTCTGTGTAGCCCTGGCTGTCCTGGAACTCACTTTGTAGACCAGGCTGCCCTGAAACACAGAGATCCACCTGTCCCTGCTCCCTAAGTGCTGGGATCGAAGGCAGGTGCCACCATGCCCTTGCTGACAAAGTTTACTCCTCAGGGTTTTTGTTTGTTTGTATAGCAGAACACTAAAAATAGCATTTAACTTTCTGCTAGATAAAAAGCAAAGCCTCTGAAGCTGTTTTGCTAAGTATTACTGCTGCCATATGCTAGTGTTGATTCAGACCTCAGAAAAAATAGTGCTGTGCCCCAGAGGTGTGGATGGATGGCTTCCCTCGTTAGTATCCTAGCTCATCTAAGGCTTGTTTTATTTGCTTTTTTACAGACCTAACTACCGTAAGAATGCTGCATATTGAGAGAAACCACAAGAAGGTTAACTGTTTGATTGTCTAATTCCTGGATTTGATATGAACCGACACAGTCTTTGTTGTCATTGACAGAACCCCACCCAGTGTGTGTGTGTGTGTGCATTATTCACATTCCTCTCTGTTCTGTTGAAGGGAAAAAAAAAAGACATTTTGACCTTTTTTAAGGTTATTGACTTAATTTTATGTTACTTGGTTGCATGAAGTTGCCCTTAACCACTAAGAATTATCAAGATTTTTGCACAGACTTTTCCATGTCTAGGCTCCTTTTCCAAGGCAGTTCTGGTCATCAGCTTCCTGCCTTTATTCCACCATCATCAAATACTCAGTTAAATAGTAATTCATATTTTTTAGATGACTACTCAACATAATACTTAAGAATGGGATTTTCTTTCTAACAGAACCCAAGAGCCAACTCCTGGATATATATTGTTGGTATATTGGAGATGAAATGAAAGTCATCTTTCAATTTGAAGGCCATGTGTAAAGTTTAACCATATTGTACAATACCTGTTCTGTATTAGAAATAGATAGTTGAACTTACACTTCTCAAAACTCATGTTGCTGTGTACACAAACTGAGTGTATATGTGAACCTAGTGAGTCTTTTTGTGTTAGACCAAAATAAAGCAAGGATTTATTTTTTCCCAATGCCAATATGATTTGAGCTAATCACTCAAGGTGGTCACTTTACACTTGAAAGCTGAAATCAGCAGGAGCACTATGGGAAACCAGACAAAGCATTGACTCTTGAATATAGACTTTTAAAATAAACTTTTCTTTTGGAACTAGAATTAGAGTAGTTAACATTCATCTGCAAATAATTATTATGTGTACATTATTGTCGCTATTGTGATACTAGAGAGTCTTATTTATTTTTATGCCAGCTTATACTGTGAGAACACATTAGTCAGTTGGGTTTCATCAACTGTTATGCTCGTCCTTGGAACATCTCTTCCGTGTGTGTTTGAGGTTTGTAGCTGAAAAGTTTACTGTAAAAAAAAATCAAAAACAAAAAAAATGTATTGTTTTTACAGAATAAATTTATTGGAATGTGTACTGGGAGTAAGGTTTGAGGTTGTAAACAACTGAGTTAGTCTTATTTGGCTTCATACGTGTAATGTGAAGTATTAATGTAATTCCTATATTAAAGCAAAAATTGACAGCAAGTTGACATAAGAATTAAGTGCAGGTGAGGATTTTATTTTCTATCTTTTTTCTCTTTAACTACTCTGGATGTTAGGTTAATTGAAAACATTGGGAGGGATGGAAGGGCGTAGCAGTATGATCTGCCTGCACACCTGAGAAAACACCAGCTCAGTGGCCCCTATGTTGACACACAACTGTATGTGCATCCTACTTCCCTCTGGTGTCTTATGTTGTTGAAGAACTAATTAACATGAAGACAAACTATTAAGATGACCTAAAAGCCCAGTGTCATGTGATGATGAAGGTGATGCTGGGCTGTGAGAGCTAAATGCAGTCAGTCCACTTACCCTTCAGGGCATACTAAAGAGGCTACTGTGTTTGGGGCTTCTTTTTGTCATTTAGCAATTAGTGGTTTCTCTATGGTACTTAGTTCCAAGTATGGAAAGTTCGTTAAGAGACAGGGTGCCACATCAGGTTTTATCTTTAAAAGGTACTTTTTAATTTTAAATACTTTATTCTAAAATTAATGAAATTCATCAAAAGACCTCTTCATTGATCACACTAAAACATATGGAGAATATAGATAACATTTTAAATTGGAACATAAAACAAACAGATTTCTTAAATAAAAAGTTCAAAGTTTGTCATGAAAATGTATACATAAAATACTTCAAATTTAATAAAGTTTGTCTTCATAAAACACCAAAAATAATTTTATTGAAAGTATACACAGAAACACAAGAGGAATATTACCAGCCACCAATAAAACAAGTGTTCATTAAGGCTACTAATAAAGTGGATTTGTGTCATCTTAGCCATTTAAGTTCACAATAGAAGTTTGGATAGCAATTTTTTAAAATAGCAGTAAGTAATATTCTTTCCTTATGAAGACACTTCAAACAACTTAAAAATATGATGATCTGGCATTTATATTAAGGTTGTCAATGACTCATACAATTCATACGAAGTTATTTCTCCAACCTGTAATTGCGGTTTTGAATTGTTTCATATGCATAGTGAATATGGTTAGTCACTTCTGAATAGTTTCATTTTTATTCTATTTGTAGGCACTAGAGTTGTAATTTTCATACACAATATGTGCAATGTTAAGATCCATGGTCACATTCACAGACAAATTGTGATATATTTCTTTAAACAAGCTGTTTCTCAACTTGAATTTCCCTTCAAAAATGAGAATATACCTATACAATACCATTATTTCACTCGCACATCCACTGTAGAACAAGAGTCTGTATTCTCGTGAGTATCCTGGAAGGGAATGAAGTAGAGCATCCGTTCCACATAACAGGGTCAGAGAGAACTGAGGTATGTTTATTCCACCTTTTCATCGGCCTTTGTTCTTAGGAAGAACTCGGGACTGTAGGTACAACGGTAGGCCAAGAGCTGAGGAAGAACTCCATATGCTATGTTTAATGCTAAAAAAAGGATTTTCGCTTCTTCGGGGACTCTGTAGACGTAAGCAGTTCTAGCATGAAGGGAAGCACCAATGTGAGAAAACTGAGCCTGTTTACATTCAAACAAAAAACAAAAAGTAAGCATGAGATCGTTCACTTGAATTAAGGATGCATTCTGGGTGACTCGTTCAGACCATGTGCCCTCAAAACCTGTCTTCAAAGCAAAATTCCTTTAGGTAATCCACAGTCTTAATACATAGTCTTTCACTAAATTTAAGGTCGTTCTTGATGTAACTATTCAAATAATGTTTCCTATTTAAAGTGTGCTTTTATCATTCCAAGTTGTGGTTTTTTAACCTAACCCGTGCCGAATACCAAACATTTCTAATTTGAATTCTAGGAACACTACGTAGACACTCAGCTAAGTCTCACAAATTGGGTTACAATTCAAAATGAAGTTGAGTTCAAAAGCTAAACTGTGGTTAGTATAATGAGCTACTTAAAGAGAAGCACTGAAGATCTCAGTGTCATTGATCAGACTGACTACTAGAAGCAAGAGCTCAGAGCCCCATCAGCATGTAGTTTTGTTTATTTGTGTATTTGGTTTTGTGCAACTTAATTGCACTCTGGTTGTTTGTAAGACACACTTGTTAATAGCTTGGCTGTCATTATAAAATGACAAATATGTACACAGGCAACCTTTTCAAATCAGACTGAAATCTATTTAGAATTGTGAGTGGTCAGCATAATCCAAGTTTCAGAACAGAAAGGCAAGAGCCTCCCTCTGTTTATATATACATAGACTATTCAGAATGTGCCTGTTGAGTTTTGCTTGGCTCGTTTGTTTTTAGTACTTTTCATAAGCACAGAGAAAAACTATTAGAAAAGTAATACAGGCCATAGCAGGCTTAAAAACCGAGAAAATATTTTCTCAGAAAAAGTTATTATAAAATGCAAACCTCAAGTCTGCATTTTTATGTTTGAAATTCAAGATACACATGAATAAAGACTGAGGGTTTAGATGCAGTAAGTAATAAATCATTGGTATGCTATTATCAAAGTGGAAAGATAAAGGTAATCTACTGTAATCTAAAGAGGCGGAAGGAACAAGAATGAATCACTAGACAATTTGTTTTTAATGTATTTGTTACCTTACAGTTCCTACATTGATTGTGCTAAGTGGCTAACATAAAAGTTCTATTTAGCATTTGATTTGACCTTGACAAGAAAAGGGCAAGCTTTTATAAACAGCGTGTTTAGGAATTTGTATCAATGGCAGATATTTTAATGGGCTACAATTTATAAATTACTGATATATTCTGGATACCTCTAATATGTTTTTGCTACTCTGGAGATAAAATAAAAGTCCTGTGGTGTGTTGACAAGGACCAACAGATTGTCTGCATTGTGATCCACAGGCACTGAGAGGGCTCTGCCCTCGGACACACCTCCCTAGGGCAGATGGCCGAAGGCCCAGCAAATGTTTGCATCTCAGGGCTCCATAGACAAAAGACCTTGAGAATAAAGGGCACTTTGGAGGCTGCCTTGAGGAGCTGCAGTTATGGACAGTCTGGGACTCTGAACAAAACTTGGCCTCTGACACTATTTTTCTCTAGGTCCTACTTTAAATAGCTGTTTATCTGAATATATAACAATTTTAGTCTGGACTAGAGGCCAGTTTTGAACTCTGGTTTTGTCAGATTTGTGGGTTTAGTGATTCTCCCTATAGATTATTGTGTACATCATAAAACGACCAGAAAAATGCCACCCATAGTTTCCAAGAATAAGTAACATGAACAGTTGTGTGTACTTGTATAGGCAAGCCTGCCTGAAAGGTCAGTGATTCTGTGGGCCCTTTTCTGCACTAAACAGTGCGGTTAATACCTCATTTTCATGAACAGTAAGCTCATGGCAACATTTAAAAACATGATCTGTGTCCTTAGATTAGATTGTACGCCCACTGGGCAGATACTGTGTCAAATGTTTTGTGTGGCACCTATCACATTGTTAGAGTTCAATAAACGTTCAACAACAATGGTCTTGTGACTATCAGAATATAAAAAGAATCTTTAAAGCATTTCTCTATACCTGTAATAGCAAGCCATTCTACTCAGAATTATTAACAAGGGGTGAAGATTGTAACATTTCTTACCAAAAGGTGTGTGCATGTGAGAAAAGAACCCTGAGGCCAGTTGTCTGCAGCTCCTGGTACTGCACAAGGGTGTGTTTGTGGCAGCCAACTGAGTGGTGCCCCCAACTGTAGCTTCCTCTAGTGTTGAGTGCTCAGGATTCTGATACAAGAAGAAGTGTCACCTGAAGAGGCTTCCTTTCCCAGACACCTTGGTAAGGAGTGTCCAGCACACTTGCTTCCTCCACGGCCTGTGGAGCTCAGCCTGGGAACCGTACCAGAGCCGAGTGAGTGAGTGAGTGCAGTGCTGCCGAATTCTGCATTTCATTTATAACTGCAATATTCAGTGATGGGGCTGACAGACACCCCTAGTCATTTCCCTTTGACTTAATTCTAAGTTTTCTACCTTGCAGAAATAAGAGATAATGATTTTTTTGGTCAGATTGAATGTTTAGAATGTAAAATGAGGTAATGAAAGTAAGCAAAGGCTAAATTGTAATAGCTTCCATTCCTGATATTAGGGAAAGATGACCCTGTCCTAATCCCTCTCCTCACTAATCATAACCCTGGCTCCAAAAAGAAGTGAGTCTTACATGTCCATATGAATGTTAGAGAGTGAAACCTGAACATGTTGGGTCCCTGTAATACAAGTAGATAATCCAGAACTGTGTTATCTTAGGGTTTTCTGAGTAATAGCATAGAAGCTAATAATACTGACTCTAGAACCAGATGGCCAGACTGGATTATTGCTCCACCACAAACCAGATAACGGGGCCCACCTCAGGTGGAGAGTAACTGTTTATGATCTGGCACCCTGATGACAACCTGGGCTCCTTGTTGTTAGGTCCCCTTGTTGACCTTTTAACTCCTCTGTCAAAGGATAAGCATGTAAAAAAATGAACCTCAAGGTCAAAGATGCTTGGTAATAAAGCACCAGAGTAGATGGCAGAAAGATTTATATTAGCCTAATTGTCCGGGAGCTTCCTAAAACTTTAAGACACTCAAAGGTTTCTGTGAAGAAAAAATGTTATGAAACTTACTTCCAGGAAAGTCAACTCTTTTCAACTGGACTGTCCACAGATGTACCTCTAGATCCCTGTATAGCCAGGAGTGGAGGAAACAGCTGGAGGGATGTCACCTGACTCAGTTGTCTCACACACACACACACACACACCTGTGGATGTGGGGTTACATAATGCCCACCAGGTATCTGTCCCCAAACCTTTGCCCAGGTTTTTTTTGTTTTGTTTTGTTTTGGGTCATTAGATGTGAGATACACTTTGGTTAACTTGTAGAAGAATTAATCTCAGTAAGGCATTCTTCTCTTAAGTTCTTTCCGGGAATCTGTACAATAATAATAAACGGAGTCCCACAGCTTTTCCATGGCGGTACTATCATTAGCTCTTTAGCAATACCCTGTTTAATCCTCAGCAGCTACTTTACAGAAAAGAAAATCGGTGAAGAGAAGTAAAGTGACAGTGGTCATTGAATTAACTAGTGACAACAAGGGACTTCTATCAGCCCTTGCTGCTAGTCATATTGACTAGATTAACTCCGGTTTTTGTTTTGTTTCACTTTCAATGATTCTGACAATGTGCATTCACCCACTGGCATCCAAGGAGGATTGGTTCCAGGACCCTGGGACATCCCATATATGTCAAAATCCTTGGATCCTCAAGCCCTTGTATAAAATGTGTTTGTATCCTGTGTACATCTTTCTGTATGTCTTACATTAGATGACTTACAGGACCAAACAGTGCAAATGCAGTGTAAGCAGTTGTAGTGTGTCTTTTAGGGACGAAGAAAAGTTGGCTTTTTGTTCACAACTGATAGCCATCATAGGCCTTAACATACTTAAGTTGGTTGAACCTGCACATAACTAAGAACTGACTATACTTCAGTTGATGGAAAACACTAATAAGTAATTGATACGGCCTGTCGTACTTCTCAAATTATACTTACAACTTTTGCCCTACAGCAAGCACTGTGTATAAAGAGAGAGGTTTTATTTTTAAGTCCCCCAATGGAACTTGACCTAAAATATAGTCTGATTTTTATTTTAAAATGTTTGGTTGAGCTTGTACTTTCTGAAGAGAACAGATTTGGGAGGTTCCTAACGCAGTCTGAAATCAAGGACCCAGTAATCACCCAGTGTGTCTTCCAATGACCTAAGAAAATTTGAAGTTTGTGGTTTTTTGTTTGTTTGTTTTGGAGTTGTTTGTTTTACTCTTCTGGTCTCCACAGGCACCAGGTACACAAATGGTGTATAGATACACGGGCAAGCAAAACACCCGTATACATTAAATAAGTTAAAGAGATTCCAGGTTTTTGGCTTGACCTGGCCGATGCAAGCTGAGGCTGTTGACATTGACAAAGAGAATGGGCAGCAGGAGAAACGGGGAGGACAAGAGTCTGTTGACATGCACCTTTGGCATGGTGGGAGGTGGAGACAGGAGGATCTTGAGTTCAAGGCTATTCTGGGCTACAAAGCAAGACTCTGTATCAAACTGGAAAGTGTTTTCTTTTATAGACTGATAACTTGCTTTGCAAATGTGTTTAAAGTCTCAAGTTGACTTGTTTCCATTACAAAGGTGCTGCTTCCATTTTACTCTAGAAGTTTCTCAAAGTGCCTCAAAAAACCTGATGTGCTAGTGAGACATCCAGGTGCAGTGATTAAGTTTGGAATTAAGTTTCGGAGTCAGCAATCGGGGCTGAAGAGACTGGTCACCAGCTTACAGTTGATATCAAAAGACAGAAATAAAAGCCCAAATCAAGGCCTTGAGGATAGGGGATTCAGAAGCTGACAAAGCACAGTAGCTAAGCATTTCTCCAGAAGTATTTATTCTGCAGGTTTTACCTATTTTTCTATGACTAGTCCAACTCAGTACCCTAGGAAGGGTTTAACCACTGACCCCATAAGTACTGTATTTTTCCACACTATGATTCTGGGGTCTTTCTGCCATCGTGGTTACTGTGCCATGATTGTATAATTACTGTGCTTTGCTTCTGGGTGGGCCCCACTCATTTCCAGGTCAGTGTTGCTTTCATTAAACACCTGCTGTCAGGCAGGGACTTGGCAAAGTGCCAGGGTGAGGGACTGAAGGGCAGGCTGAGCTTTCTAGAAACAGAACTTACACTAAGCCAGCCTCCCTGTTCTGTTGAGTATTGTGTGGCAGAGCTCTTAGACTCTTCATTTAGATAGAATAGACAGCCTAAGAGTTACAGCTTTCAGCTCTTCTCAGTAGCCATAATGTTCTTAGACTGGGAAACAATTCTGTAACTGAGTGCCACTTGCTACTTTTGTGACTCTGGGGAAAACCCTAATTTCACTAGGTAACTACATCTACCAGGTGGTATCACTGGTGTGAGCGAGAGAGAGGGAGAGAGAGAGGCAGAAATGTCATCCAATAAACTAGAAACTATTTCCTACTCAAAACATTGAGCAGAGACATGTTTCATAATTTCAGTGACAGCTAGGTCACTAAAGAACTTTCTCAAAAGGGAATATTCTTATCTGAGTACCTGAGCTAGACCTCCAGCATGGACCAGCGTTATATCAGGCATCCATGAACATCCAGGGACCACTAAGCCATAAAGTGCAATTACGAAGTAAGGGACAGAATAGAACATATACGCCAGCATCTGTGTAAAAAGAAATGAGCAAATTAACAGCTTGACCTAACAAAAAGCAAAAACATGAAACACTTTCAAAGATAAATGCTAATTCCTACTTCTGTGTAGACACCTCATAATCCATTTAAAATATGAGAATTGACTTCAAAAAAAATCTTAGGCTTTGTAACAACTTGACCTGAATTTTAGGATAAGCAGCAGGGTCCTTTAGGTAGGGCTCTTGAAACTGTGTGTAGAGTCGGCAGAGCTCGGCTGGGCAATCCAGAGCAATCTAAGGATAAAATGAGTTCATTATGAATAGTCCTGTTCTTAGATTTGCAGATGAGGCTGTGTGACAGCTTCAGTGAGAGCTACTTCAGTTCTCACCATAAACTGTATTTACAGGCCCATCAGTAACAGGAAAAGCAGATATCCAGACTTCTCTAAAGGACTAAGCCTAAGTCAACAGTGGATCATTGTTCTTGGGACTCTCTAATATTCACAGCTTCAGCATCTAGGTTTAGTGAGCCAAAGCACAGCTCTTGGTAGAGATAACCAGTTCCACTTGGGAATAGCTAGCCAACTAGTCTCTATCAGAAGAAAAATAACACTTCTGTACCATATTAATCATACTGTGCTTTGCAAGATTCAAAAATAGCATCCGCCTCTCTCCAGTACCTCAGAGAGCATATGGCCTTTGGAAGCAGTAAGGGATGATTTGAAAGCAGGGTCTTCCTGTGAAGCCATTCCTGTCCACTTTGGAAAGAGCAGAGAGCAGATTTAGTCCCTGCAGAGGACACTCTAGGCCACAGAATGGATTTTGGCAAACCACTGAGACAGTTCCCCCTTCAGGCACCATTCCTCATATCCTTGGCCATAAATGAAATGTTCTACCAAATGACAACCTAGACTGCAGGCTAGCAGTAGAGTTGGGCCTTGGTCCAAATCCTCATCTGAGCAAGCCCCACCCAGCACACATGTACACAGAGAACAGGACATGGGAGGATGCAGTTGGATCTCGTTGTGTGGTGGTGACTGAACTTGGAAATTAGCACAAACCAACCAAAGAACTGGTTCCATGGCTTGTTCTCAACTTGTACAACCCAGCAAGTTTAGAATAGTTGGTAATTGGTGAAACTGAATATGATAAGCAAATAATTCCTAGATTTAAAATATTTCTTCTAAGAATAAATTATAAAGCTGGGTCATTGTGAAGAATCACTGATGAATTAAGACTAACAACAGTTGTGTATTGAACACTACTTTGTACAAGGTCCTTACCAAGGAGGGTAGTCACTAATCTTCAAAACGATATAAGGTAGGCACTAGTAGTTTACAGAGAAGGAAATGACAGGTGAGAGAGTGTCATTTTTCTAAGGCACAACTAGCAAGTGGCTAGTGTTCTCCACAACTACACAGAAAACTTGTCTCCAAAAACAAATAACGAACAAAAACCAATAAAGGGCAAAGAGAAAAAAAACTCACGAGTCCTTCCTGTAATCAAACTCCAAACCTGAATCCTAACTCAGCATTACCCTGAGCAGTGAGAAATTCACATGACCCTGCACAGGTCAGAACTTTTTCCTGGGGACCTCTTCCTTGATCCCATCGCCCCTACTCTTGAGAATACATGGTTGCTCTGGGCCACAGCTGTATTGAGATCTTAGGGAATCACCCTAACCAAAGATAGTTGCCTTTACATCGGGGTGAAAAAATCAAGGGAAACAAAAGAATGAGATTCTAATGGCCAGTTTTTCAGGTGTCCTAAAAGAAGGAAAGGAAGGTACTTCTAAACAGAAGTTGATCTGAGGACCCAAAGGAGGAGGTATGAGATAGCCCAGGATGAGCCATCCCTTGTGAGTGGGGCACTCGGGGCAAGAGAGCAACAGGAAGCTAGTCCAGAGCTCTAGTCTGTGGCAGGAAGAGGAGGTGATCAGTTTGATCTCACACACACTATACGTACACACACACACACACACACACACACACACACAGACTTTTTTCTTGTTTGGAATAGTATATTGTTATTTTGATGTTATGCTTACCAAGCCTCTGAACAGGCAAAATCCAGTCGCCAAGACGAGACACACAACCAAGAGCAAGTCAAATGGTCTTCTCAGCAGGGCTTTTGCTTGGGCTTCTTGAAGAACCTAAAATGGAGTTTGTTGCTGGAGAACAATCCCAAAGCCAGGGACAAGTCTGCGACACTAAATGCCAAGCTGATGACTAATGAGTCTGGAAGATGCACAATTCACATCGTAGACCACTGGCCACTGAACATCATGAGTATCTTCCCCTCCAGTATATTCCCTTTTTTATGAAATGGAGCTACTAAGCCAGGTGATTTGAGGCCCATCCAGTTCTAGTCCATTTTTTTTCTTGAACTACATTTTTATGATTATAAAGTAAGCTATATGCATTTGAAAAATGAAATAGTAGAATTGTCAACTGTTAGTGGTTGACACACATTCCCAGTCATGTATGGTTTTGTTTCGTTAGTTGGTTGGTCAGCCGGTTGGTTGATAAGCTGGTTGGTTGGTTGGTTGGTTTTCTGAGACAGGATCTCAACTGTGTGGTGGAGACAGACATAGAACTCCCTGTGTAGCTCATGTTGGCCTCAAATTCATGATTATCCTGCCACCTCCTCCCAAGTGCTAGGATTAGATTTCATGTGTGCCATCATGCCTGACTCATGTATGTTCTATACATTTATATGTAAATACATAGACTCACATATAACCTTTTTTTTTGCAAAAATAAAATTTAGAATATAAACAGTTTTGCATTCTTCACTGAATAACTAACTGCCTGTGAGCACATCCTCAAGTGATGAAAAACTGAAAATACCCTAAGGAGACCATGCTTGTCCTCCCACTGCAGGGCACTGGGCACTTTTTCATTGTACCACTTAATGTTCAGGAGAGCGGCCCTGCACAGAAATCTCTGCCTTGTGTCTGCGATGACTGTCTCGGGACAGGCCCTTGATGTGGAAATGGGTTGGAAGCACAGCTAAACTGCTTTGCAGGGTGATTCTGTGGTTGTTGGGTTTTGTTTGTGCTGTGTATGGTTCCTAACAGCACCGTGTAACAATGCCCATAGCTGTGCTTTACCATTAAAGTAACAACACAAATGATTCTGTGTGTCTCGTAATGCAAATGCTGTTCACACACTGACATGGAGCCCTATCAAAGCAGTGGAGCCAGGGCCAACTAGGGTTACTGTTTACCCATTTTTTCTAACACCCACTCACTCCTGAAAGAGATGTATGAGTGTAGCTGCTGATGGCCTGAGTTTACACAGCTGTAGCTAAATATTTACAAATTAACTGTGTGTAGATTATAATGTACATAGAGCGAGAAGTAAACCTCCATAGTGGAGTGGTTGTTCAGCACACGGGTGGCCATGAATTCAACCCCAACACTCCCCTAAAAAGGTAGTCCAATGAATTCAACTTGTACAAATAATTTTGGCCAGATGTGGTGGCGCAAACTTTTAATTCCAGCACTCAAGAGACAGGTGGAGCCCAGTGATTTTGAGGCCAGCCTGGACTACATGGAGAGTTTGAGGCCAGCTAGGGAGAGCTACATGTTAAGACTCTGCCTCAAAAGTAAATAAATGAATAATGATTTTAAACTAAAAATAGTTTTGTATGGTGAGTAATCATGTTCTAACTAGTAGTTTGTTCTCACACATCAGATAGATTTAAAGGACCCTACCCAAGGATATATTATATAAACTGAAGAGAAGGAAATCACTCTCTTAGAAATGAAGATTTAAGCAGACCTGTGGGGCTAGCCTTGCTTCATACTGACCCCCTCGGCAGTGAATGGAAGGGGAGAAGTCTTGGGGGTGCTCCTGCAACCACTGTCCTGGGGCCTGTATCCCCAGGGATCAGAACCAATGGCCTTGTGCATTACCTTGAACACCTCAGCAGTAAATGGTATACTGAAAGAAGTGTCAGGTACTCACACACAGGCCGTTAACCCAGGCAAACCACATGTTGTGAACTTTACCTGTCACACTAACACAGAAGGGTGGCAGAAGCCAAGGTGATCCCTGCAAGGGAAGTCCCCCGAAGTATAGCCTGGGCAGTAGAAGCAGATGGATTGAGACAGAAGCAGACCATCTGCCACATTAACAAAGATGCCAGCAAATGGCAAGGTATCAACACAGTCCTATGGATTGAATGCCCCAATGCTCTGTCCTCACAGAGATGAGAGCCCAGGGAGTCTGGGAACATGTAAGTTACCAGCTGCCAGAATGCCAGCCTGAGGTTGCACACCAGTATAGAATTGTTACATTTAAATGTAATAAAACTACCTTTGAGGGATAATTATAGTTTTCTGATGGCTGGTTATAGATTCTGAAGCCAGCCCACACCGGAAGACATGTATATGGTATGCTTAAGAAAAATGCAGGGCAAATCCGTGTTCCATATTTTCCTATTTAAAAGAGAGGAAAAGATAGTCAAAAAGATGGTCAAAAGTCTGTTGGTGCATATCTAAACAATAATATTTAAGCTACCTACCACCTCAAATCACCTAAAATTTTGCAATGAACCAGCAATAGTTTTATTAGATAAGACAAAAAAAGTCAAAACCATTAGATATTTCTTAATAGTGATGTCCTATTTACAATATTAAAAATTATGTTAACATGTATATCCTAATTTTCTGCATGTCTAAATGACTTCTTTTACTTCATCCTGGAAGAATACTTACTTCCGGGTGCATTTACTGTAAGTTCTCACAGTGTGTGAGAAGCACCATATAATACAAAGAGCTGCAAGCAGTATCCGTGCACTAAACGCTGGCTGCTTAACTACCGGTTCAGCACACGCTTCTGAAAATGGCTCTAAAGCACTTCTTAAAAGATGAGAGCCCAGAGCCAGGTAGGAATAACTTTGCAAAAATAGTTTTTATAAGCTTAGAACCTGCTATAAAGCTTAAGAACAACTTCTCTATCTAAAAACCCCATTATAACAACAACAACAGAAAAAAAAAAACCCAGCATGACTGTTAAAATAACATTTCTTACCTACAATGTTTCCAGGCACAAAAACCACAATGCTCATTATGATGGATCCGACCCAGTATAGGCCAATGGTTCTGTAGCTTTCCCTACAACAAAACATTTTGGTTCAGTATACTTGTCTTGGGATACAAAAGGCGATCCTCAGAATCGTCTTCCAATCTAGTTACAGAAGTACCTGAATAGAAACCCACTGAATCAAGTGATAAGCATAGGGAACCCTGATAATCAAGATCACTTCCGTATGTGACACGGTACAGAACCCTTTGTGGGCTTGTGCACTCAGGCATGCAAGCGTGTGGTCTATGTGTGTGTACGTGTATGTGCAGGCCTGTTCATGTGCATGCTTGTAGAGACCAGAAGGCTGTGTCAGGCAGGTTCCTTTCTCAGTCACCCTCCACCTCATTTTTTTGAGATAGGGTTTCTCACTGAGCCTAGAGCTCTGGCCACCTCAGCTACACATGCTGGATGGCCAGTCTCAAGGAACCTCTTGGCTCCTCACTACACACCATTACTGGGATTCCAGGTGCAAGCCCTCAAACCCAGCTTATTACAGGAATGCTGGGGATCGAACCTGTGCCCTGATGCTTATCCAACGAGCCCTCACTCCTGCCCCTTTGATGTCCTTTTCAGTAGGAAATTGTGCTTTCCATACAACACACATGTTGACCCATGACATGGTCTTCACTGATTAGGACTGTATTTCCACACTGTGTATAACACTCACAGCACAGGGAAGAAGGATCAAAGATGAAAGTTGAATGTAAAGTGGACAACTCTGTGGTACACAGAGTTGGGGCTAAAGCCCCAGAGATGACAGGTCCCTGTGTTCTAAAGGGACGGATCTAATCTCAGTGGTGGCCACATGTCCCTTCACCTGATAACCCAGAAACAGCTCCACACTAGAGGCTGAGAAGAATCCAAAAGGAGGGGCCAGGATGGAGAACACTGTGTGTTTTCTGCTCTGCTGTGGGCCCCAGCCCAAATGGAGCCACCCCACCAGGGCAATGCTTAGTCTCGAAATGTCGCTCCTGGAGAGCATGATGAGGGGAGGGGAGGACAGCTCAGGGGGCTGCATTGTAGCCTCCCAGGGAGCAGAACTGGAAGACCTCCTCTCACTTAGGGCCATGCAGAGGCTGGGGACGCAGGAGCTGTCTGGAAAAACGCCATAGCCAAGACTGCCTGCTAAACCCCTAGGAAGTCACAGTGGACAGAGAGTGAGAATTCAGCCAGTGTTGCTGGTTACTTCTGCAGGTGGTGTGGCACACAAGTTTCTGCCGTGGGAGTCCCCAGAGAGCCTGTGTGTGCTGTGAGAAAGAGCTAGCATGTCACAGCAGTGAGTACTGGTACCCAAAAAACAGCAACTGTCACAAAACTCTTCCCTCGTTTCTTTAATTACAGAGGCGTGCTCCCAGAGGAGCCAGCCACAAAGAATTGAGGGGTATGATCAACCCCCAAGTTTGTGCAATTTCCCAACCCCTAGGACCACACCTGAACTTGAGAAATTCTGTACTGAAATGAGGTGGAACTTTGAATTACAATGTGCTGGACTTGGGTTCCTAAAACTGGGGATGAGGAGATGGCTCAGTGGAAAAGGTGCTTCCTGCACAAGCATGAGAACCCAAGTTCAGGTCTCTAGCACCCACGTGGAAAGCCAAGCATGGTGATGTGCATCGGTAACTTCGGCATCAGGCTAAGGGCAGAGACAAAGGAGACCCAGGTGCTTGCTGGCCACCCAGTCTAGACAAAACAGTGAGCTCTGGGTTCAGTGAGAAACCTTATCTCAAAAACTATGGGGTGAGCCAATGAGAGGGCTCAGTGGGAAAGGCACCTGCTGCCAACCTAAGTTAGGTCTCCAGGTCCCACACGGTGGAAGGAGAGATCCCATCCCTGTAAAATTGTCCTTTGACCTCCACATACCTACCAGAGCTCACATACATATACCTGCACATGAACACACACACACACACACACACACACACACACACACACACACACACATGCATACAAAATAAAACGTAATTTTAAAAAATAAAGTAGAGAAGAAATTGAGGAATACTCCCAGCATCAGCCTCTGACCTCCACACTAGCCTACATGAATGAGCACACACTCCCATATAAGCACACATGCGCGCGCACGCGCGCGTGCGCACACACACACACAAACGCACACAATGAGAGTTTATTGTTGATGTCATATGTTTGTTTGTTTATTTGTTGAGACAGGCTCTCACTGTGTATGTAGCCCTGGCTTGGAACTTACTTTGCAGACCATGCTGGTCTGCACCTCAGAGATCTGCATTCCCCAGCTCCTGGATGCTGGGATTAGAGGCATACAACACCATGCCAAGAGAGATTGTTCTTACAAAAACAGAAACCCAAGGGACCGCTCTGCCTGAGCTGCCACCAAGGAAGAAGGAGAACTCAAAGGGATATGTTTACAAAGACAGTGATACAGAGAAAATAAAGCTTTGTCCAACTCATAGAACATTCCTGTCCTGACATATGTGTGTGGCATACATACATCGTGACATTCCATGTTCCTTCCATACCCCTTATCAGTTGCAAAAGTGTCACACACACACACACACACACACACACACACACACACACACACACACACACACACACACCAGGAGAGCTACTTACTCCCATGCTATGGCAGCCACCATCACCAGGTACATCAGGTAATGAACAGAGCCATCCCAGTAACAGACCATGTGCCCATAGGCCGTGTTCAGATATGGTTCACCCTAAGGAAAGCATTGAAAAGCAGCCATTTTAAGGAAGGCTCCAATCTTCAAATGCAGGACAACAGACCTCTATTGCAAATAAAACAACAGAACTAAGGGGTGTTTCTTCACTGAGATGAAACCACTTCCACACAGTTGGTAGGATTGCGGAAAATAGGACTTTAGCCTGGGGCAGTCAAAGCCAGGGTCTGCCATGGTGTCAAATAGGAGAATTCCTAACAAATTGGCATTTGATTTCTCAACAAAGGTTTGTACTACAGTACAAAGGCATCATCAGGTGGCTGTGTGGGCAATCCCAGCCAACTGGAGCAAGGCCAAACTTGTGTCTGTAAGCACTTGACCCTGGCCGGAAGGGTGGCCCAGGAAGGCCCTGTTCACTAGTGCCACCTGCTGGCCTTAACCAGTCATGCTAATCTTGTGGTGGGCTGGGCAGTCCACGGGGAGGTGCCCATGTCCAATTCCACACATAACTTCCCACCTGCCCCTTTATTCAGCCTTCCCAGCAGACCTGTGGGCTGGTCAGGACCGTCTATCTGCAGAGGAGAAAACGTTTCAAGAGCCTGAAGACTTGCCTGAGGTCACGTAGCTAATAAGGAGCAGCACTTACATTACCAACAAGAGCCACACTTCTGGGATATTTCAATTTCGTGAACACAAGATTGTATGATGAACGATGCACGTTTCCCCTTCCCGGGTAGTCATGTTCCGGGGTCCCATCAGACATGGACTCTTCAGTGATGCTTTCTTTCTCCCTTCCCTAGGACTGTGCCCTCCCAGACTGCTTCACATGTCTCCCTAATATGCGTGAGCAGCCAAACTGTATCAACCAGTCAAGGAGGTATTCTGTGAAACTCTGTGGCTCCCCTCAGACAAGGACATCAGCCACCACCATCCCCACCCCCCAAAAAAAGCCACACCCAAACTTGTAGCCCTCTGCCTGGCCACTGCCTTTCTTTCTCACCCCGTGGTGCTCTGAGTGCATAATTCAACTGATTTCATGGCTCCGGTCACTCCTGCCTACACACTCAGCTCTGAAAGCCAGCACCAGCCTCCTCCGGGAGCTTGACAGACACGTGTGGACCTTTCAAACCCACCTGAACTCCTTCAATTCGCCTGCTTCTCCCTCCAGCCAGGCCCTTCCTGCCTGGCCTCTGCACACCCAGCTCAGTCAGCTCCAAGCTCTTCTATGCAGTCTTTGGACAAATCTCACTAAGTATCTATGCTGTCACTTTAAGTGACCTTCCCTTTTCATCACAGCATGGGGCAGGCCTTCAGAGTCACCCAAGAGCCACTGCTACATTTCCAAATGTGTACCCCACCTCTCCCTGATTCCCATCTACCACCCTCCAGCTGCAAGGCAAGACTCATGCAGCCTCCCTCTTCCTGAAAGCCTGCAGGTCAAAGTCCCATCTCTTCCACTAGGCCTGCAGATCCTACCACTGTTACACCCCAGCTTCCTTCCTTGTACCTCCTACCCAAATTCTTGCCAACCTTACAAGGTTGATAGATAGCTTGCCCCCTGATCAGCATCCTCCCTCCTGAAGGCCCCTCCTCTGGTTCATTGGCCTCCTCCCCAGGCTCCCTCTGCCTCCTCTATCTGCCCACCATGGTCTATCATGCCCCACGAAAGCAACTCTCTTCTCCAACTTGAAGTATCAACTCTATTTGGGTGGTTCCTGAGTCTCTCTGATGGAGCCATTCCTCAGAAGACCTGCTGAGCCCTGCCAGCTAGGGCATTAGTAGATGTCCCTCAAGGACCCAAAACTCCACATGTCCCAGATGAACTCAGCATTACCCTGCAGACACTCCTGGGGAGACAGACACTACTAGGCCTCCTTTCCAGACATTTGTCCAAGCTGTCCCTTCGCCCCAGAAGGCCTTCCCTTCCTTGCACCATATAGCAGTATGTGTGGTCCTCTCCCACGGCCACTCTGAAATGCTATGGAAATGCCAGCAACTCAAAGAGGCCATCCTGGGCATTCATCCCCAGAGCCCATGCATCTGTGCTGAGAGTGTACCTCTACCATCATACCCAGGCCAAAGTCATCCTCCCTTCTCATTAGACAGTGACCTCCTGAAGGCTAGAAACAGCTGGATTCAAGGACTCTCTCTAGAACTTCACTTCTCAAGCTTCTGACTTAATAACACCAGCATTCCAACAAACCCCAAAACAAGAATCAGGACATCACTCCAGGCCTTCCTCTCCATCATCCGCAACTTGACCCGAAATCCCACTCAGAATCCCTGAAACTCATTCTCTCTCTGTTTGCCCTGCACTGCCTCTGGCCATCTTCTTGCCCTTGCTGGCTTTGCAGAAGCTGCCTTATGGATAGCACATCTCACTTCGTGCCATGGCCCCATACCCACAAGCTTGCCTTCTTCCCTGGCTCCAACACTCCCCTCACACATTCCTGGGGAGACAAACAAAGCTCCCCATTATTTGAAACACAGAAAGTCAATAGACAATACTGTTTCAACCTCTGCTCCACATTTTCTGTGTGACCTTGAGTAGGTCACTTGGCCTCTCTGGGACTGGATTCAGGCCACTGTAAATTAGAAAACAAGACTGGTTTCCTCGAGGGCTGTGATTTTGTGGTAGGGTATTAATTGCCAGACTCGGCAAGCTTAAGTAAATAACTTGATATTACATATATACAGGGTCCCGTACTGTAGTCCAGGCGAGCCTGGAACTCACCATATTGTGAGACTTCCCTCAAACTTGCAGCAATCCTTCTTTCTGCCTTTGCCTCCCAAATACTGAGTGAGATTATAGATAGACCAAACTTTGACACCTGAGATGTTTAAGACGGATTTGGGATCTCTGAGATTATCATCCAGTAAGAGAAACCCAAATACTAAATTCACCTGAAGTTCTTCACTTAAAAGGAAACCGTTCTGGAGTGAAGGAGGTATGGTGGAGAAAGAGTGCCCTCCTGGCCCTCTGTCTTCTGTGGCTAGCCTGTCATGTGTCTGCTTACATTGGATGAGGGGACTGGGACAGCACTCCAACAGTAGCCTGCCTCTGAGCCACCCGGTCCCAGTACAACCCCTGAGCAACCCCGTACCTCTCTCAGGTAGTGGGTCATAAACCCATCGATGATGCCATCCTGCTCCAAGCCGATGATGAGGTTCACCACGCTGGTAAATCCGAACACTGCATACACTGGAACAAAGGAGGCGGCAGCTGAAAGTGCATGCCATGGGAGACAACAAGGACGGGGTGCCCACCAGGTATCATGCAGTGTTGCTCATGCTTTTCCAGACTGCATGTCGTGCGCACCAGCTGGACATTTATCTGTCTTCATGGACCTCCCTGTACTGATCCAAGGCCCTCACTGAGGGAACTCATGTCACAGAAACAGAGAATCAGTGTCCCAGAAGATTCTTCCAGGCTACCTCCACCATCCTCACTCCCTTCAGGTGAAACCCACATCCCACCTGAGCATCAGGAGCTATGCCGGTAATAAAACAGCCGAAGAGATACTCAGGTGGTCTAGAAAAGGCGGGACATCTTAGTGTGGCATGCAGGCCAACTAAGAGTGTGTCCAACATACTAGCCAAGTCCTCCCTGGAGGTCCTCAAGACAGGTGGGTGACCGGCGTGCAAGTGGCAGTCAACAGCTTTAAGGAAAAAGGCAGTGACTTTTTTACTTGTTTGTTGTTTGGGGTTTTGTTTGTTTGGTTGGTTGGTTTTTTGTTTTTGTTTCTTTTTTTTGTTTGGTTTTGTTTTTTGAGACAGGGTTTCTCTGTGTAGCCCTGGCTGTCCTGGAACTCACTCCGTAGACCAGGCTGGCCTCGAACTTGGAAATCGGCCTGCTTCTGCCTTCCGAGTGCTGGGATTAAAGGCGTGTGCCACCACCACCCGGCAAAAGGCAGTGACTTTTAAAAATACACATGAGATGGGACAGCTAAGGATGCCCGGAGGAAAGCCGCCGCATCTCCAAATCTGGCCAGTTGTACAAAACCCCTAACTGGGCTTTAAATACTAGGAGTGGCCAACTAAGGGCCAGAGCTTCTAAACAACTGGCGATCCCACTCAGGGCATGCGAGTCCATCGAGAAAATTGCATTTTCAAGTTATAATAAATTGATATCCGAGACTGTGGAACAGGAAGGGGCAATAGCAAACCCAATTTGTGAATATAAAAAGCTATGGGAAAAAAAAACAAACGGAGAGTGGGGAAGCTGTCTCGGGGGAAGCCAAAGGGGGTGAGGGGTCCCCAGGCGTGCTTCACTGGGCTCCACTGAGGCCCACGTGTCTCCTGGAAAACAAGGCACTGGGTGTGTAATCCCCTCGCAGCTGGTGACGCCCATGGAGGGTCAGATACTGTCTTAGAGGTGACATCAGTCTCTGCCTCCTGATAAATGAGGACCCTGGCTCAGGGCTGCACCCCAAGGCTGAAGGGTCCTCAAAGCTGGAACAGAGCTGAAGACACAAGAGCGGTTGCTTGCCTCAAGGATGGGGATGTATCAGTAGGCTAAGCGTGGGCTCCCTGGGTGGGGAGGAGGAAGGAGGAGAGACAGCAGAGGGAGACTGTTCTTGGATCAGATCGAAGCAGGTAGAGTGCGACATGAATAAGGACCCAGCTCTGAAGTCAGAGAGGCACAGCTAGACATGAGAGACTCACAATTTCTCTGAGCTTCAGTGTTGTGTGTGTGCAAACAGAGAGAAACTGGTCATTTATAATTCCTTCCCTCTCCACCTTTGCCAAGGCTCATAGTATGGTGGTATTTTATTTGTACTGAAATGTGATTTTAATTGTTTGTTAATAAATAAAGTTGCCCGGGGGTCAGAGCTATTAGAGCCATAGCAAAAGCAGGGCGGTGGTGGCGCACGCCTTTAATCCCAGCACTTGGTAGACAGAGCGAGGTAGATCTCTGTGTGTTCAAGGATATAGCCAGCATTGGAGACACACGCCTTTAATCTCAATCCCAACCATAGAAGACCTGGAAGTCTCGACAGACAGGCAGTGACGAGGCAGTCATGTGTTTGGGTTTACAACCAATGAGAAGGCAGAACACAAAGACTATATAAAGACAAACACACAGGAAGTAGGCCCCTTTTCAGAGAGCTCTCTTGGCTGAAGAGGATCCCTGAAGCAGGAAGGGTGAGGCTCTTAGCTCTGACCTCTTGGCTTTCTTCTCTGAATCGGCTCTGTGTTTCTTATTTAATAAGACAGTTGGTTACATCTACATCATAGTGGGCAGAGAATGCTTCCCATGCCTTTGGTGAGGGTTTGAGGCTTGCTCTAACCTTAAGATGGGGCTGGAAGTGACAGGGGCCAGTTCTAACCAACGCAGTGGGGACATTGCTTTCCTTCCTCCAGCCCTCGGTGTATGCTGTGGGAACTATGAGGAGACACAAGCAGAGTCCTAAATCTGTTCACGGCCTGGAGCAGGCTGTCTCGGCCAACCCACAGGTCGGTGAGCAAGAGAAATAGATGCCCGTTGCTACAGCTACAGAGATGTGAGGCCCGTTTGACATCAACAGAAATGAAATGCATAAAATACCCAACACAATCCCTGGCCACAGGAAGTACTCCAAGACCAGCCACAGCTTTGCCTGAGGCAGCATGTATAATGAAAGGGGTCCGGAGCTGTTCCCCCTGATTCTGACCACATTTCTGGCATCTCCAGCTAGCCGAGCGGAGGGATATTTGTTGTGAGTATTAAAATAATACTTCTGAAGGGCTCAGAACCTTGTCAGGCACATGATGTACTCAACCAATGGCTTGTTTGTTTGTTTGTTTGTTTGTTTAATATACATGTTTATTTTTCAGGTCCGGATCGAAGTCCCTAACAAATGCTAATGTTTGACCAGCTCCCCAAGGCGTTATTTTCCTCTTTACACAAATGTGTAGACCAGAGTTCCCAACCTGTGGGTCACGACCCCTAATCTGCAGCAGAGGTCGCGTATCAGATATCCTGCATATCAGATATTTCCATTACAATTCTTTACAGTAGCAAAATTACAGTTAAGAAGTAGCAACCAAACTAATTTTATGGTTGGGGGCATCACCACAACATGAGGACCTGCATTAAAGGATGGCCGCATTAGCAAGGCTGAGAACCACTGGCGTAGAGTGAGACATGGTAAATTCAATCCCACATGCCAGCAGCAAGCTGAAGGCAGGAAGCCCAGCCTGGAGGCTGAGGGAAGAGCAGGCTGGGGGCTCCCAGGGTGCCTGGAGGAGGCCCGCCTGGCCCTGCCACTCACTCCCTGGAAGAACTCTATTTAGAAAGTGGACACCACGAAGGGGAGCTTAGCGGGAAGGGCCTGGCCCTGAAGAGCCCTACACTTCCAGTTCCTGTCAGCACTGGCCTCAGAGCAGCCCAGAAGGAACATGTACCCAATGCCCAGCTCCCTGCCAGGGTGGATACAAACCCTTTCTCTCTGAGGAGTACACCTACCAGCCTACCTACCGTAGAACAGAGGGTCCCGCGGGGGTTTTCTTTTGACAAGGACTCGAGCCAAAAGGGCCACCAGGAGCAGGATGAGGGCAGCAACGCCAACAATGGTCCAGGAACTGTGGGGAACGAAGCAGGGAGGTGGTCACTAATCACAGTCAACACAATGGTGCCTGGAATTTCCTGGCTACTGAAGGCACTTGCTCCCTGTGCCGCAGCAGGCTCCTGGAAGCCAGCCTCAGCTTTGGCACTGAAAAGTTACTGCAGCTTATCTACAGCACGTTGGCCTCTCTGGGGCACAGCCCCATAACGCTCATGGCCCGGAAACCCAGGTCGCTCATTCGTTTCCTTCCCACCTGCGTCGTGTGCATGTTCCTTCCCCACCCTCCCTCATCCCTAACATGGCTGCAGCCCAGTGGCCTCTACCCTCCTGTTTCTCCAACGCTTTACCCTGAAAGCTAACGGGTCTAACCACTAAGTCTGACACCTCCCGTGGGCCAGCCACAAACCCTCAGACTGAACTGCATTAAGATTGCGCTCTCCGGGGAGAGACCCATAGCTTGCAGTGTGCTTCCCCATGTGGCAGGCACTGTTGCTGGCCTTAGGAGACTCCAGATGAACCCAAGTGGCCTCTGTCTACAGGGGACTTACCTCCATGAGTTCTGAGCTCTGCTTCCCATAAGGTCACCCCAGCCCTATAGAGATACCCAGATTGCCAACACTGGCTGGGCTTCTCATCCTGCACAAATACCTGTGTGGCCCTATCTGTCAATTGCATACCATCAGCTCTCTACTAACACTCAGTGATGCTACAAGCACTGATCCACAGCTGGGGCACCTCCACACCATGGCCTAAACACTGGGATCTTCAGGTAGTCTTCGCCCCATCCCCCTGGGGAAAGAGGAAGACAAGGGCGGAGGCAGGAAAGGGAGCATGAATGGGTAGAAGGAGAGACGATGGACAGGTGAATGGTGAACGGGTAAGAGACATGGATAATGGATGCAGTGGTGGTCGGTGAGAGATTGGATCGTGCATGGATGAATGCTATAGCATGATGAGAAGGAAACCGGGTCTTGTGCTGGGAAAAAAAAATGGAAGGTTTCTGATGCCCCACACCTGTGGATTCTCCAGGCTCCTCCCAAAGGCCCAGAGCAGAGAAAGGGGAAGCTGCCATGGCTCACAAGCATCATGCTGCTCTAAGATACCCTGGGAGGGGAAGAGCAGGGAGGTGAGCCATATGACAGGGTGTCAACGATGAGCCCTGAGGCCGGAGCTAGTCAGCAGACGACCCCATCCTTGGACACCAGTGGCTGAGCTCACAGTCAGCATGCTCACGGGACTGGGCTCTGATGGAGCAAGACAGACAGCATGAATTAGTTCAGAGTGTCCTCTCATGCTCTCTACCTCTGAGGTAGGAAGACAGGCGAAGAGAAACTGGGGCAGTAGGTCATTTCTGCCTCCCAGCTCTGTTCCTGGGGACCCTCTGGGGAGAACAACACATGCCCAAGGTGGGCAGAAACAGGTCTGACTGCGACTCCAGGTGATGGGTAGAGGGTGCTATGAATAAGGCATGGGTTGTTAGCCTTGAGTGGTGGGAAAAGTTACTGGTGCTCTTTGCTGACTCCTCTGGGCTGCCATACAGCCCTTTCTAGGCTGCTCCCCCAGCAAACACCAGGCCAGCCCTCCCCCTTCCTTACCTAGCTCACACATACCCCAGAACACCTGCAAGGTTCTGTCCTCAGATCTCACCATAACTGAACATATGTGGGCGCATGTGAGAGAGCCCCCTAACTCCTTCCTGGCCCTTCAATCTAGCTGATCATCTGTTTCTCAGAGTCTCATAAAAGGCCTGGGGAAACAGAAGCTTGGGTTATGAAAGGTGAGTGTAACTGAAAGCTGGCTGCACACAGGGCTGGGCAGAGCAGTACCCAGGTGAGCTGCAGCCTGGGAAGGTGAGCTCTGGCCACAGGAAGGAACTCGGTGGGAAACGTGAGGCATGAGTCTGGGGGGCTCAAAGCAGAAATCCCTGATTTGGAGGAAGGACCCACAAACGAAGAAGGGGCGGTTTCACTTACTTGGGGCCACCAAGTTAAGTGTGTGGTCAGTAACCAGCAGTGGGGAGAAAGGAAGACAGGACAAGCCACAGAGACAAGAAGGTGGACCGGTGTCAAAAATCAAAGAGGGTTGACGCTCTGGGGGTGGGGGTGGGGTGGGAGCTGAGGCTCAGATGCCAGCAGGGGGCTGAGACAGGAGGGAGGCACGGAAGGAAGTCGGTGCCAAAGAGAACTCAGAGGAGGGCACAGACACTAGACTCACCAGGAAGGGGCCAGGAGGAAGAAGCGAGCGAACAAGTATGAGGGAGGTGTTATGGATTGCCGGGTTTCACTCCGGGGCCGCAGCACTGATCAGTTAACACACAGTCATCAAATCCTCACCACCACCAGCAGCAGCAGCAGCCCTTCCTAGACAGCTCTTCCAGCAAACACCTGCCTATCACAACCACTTCCTTCCCCTCCCGTGCTCACCCCCTCCCTATGCTCACAAAGTGCTGCCCCTAGATCTTGCCCTCGCTGAAGCGTCCCTATCTCCAAAACACCTTCCCGAGCCACTGCCCCTGCCCCCAGCCACCGTGTTTTGTTGTCTTCATAGCACGCAATTCTCTGCTTATGTATCTGTTGATGTCTATTTTAATTCATGGCTCCTCAGCAATTCCTGGCCTGTTCTCAGCTAGTCTCCAACTTTTGCAAGGGTTCAGAGCACAGAGGGGGTGTTCAATAAATGTTCACTGCGCTGTTCATGGTACTATACTACTTTAGGAGCCAAGTTCCCTGTGCACTCTATCGACAGGCACAAAACACCTGACTGCCCAGAGCCACCGTTTCAGGAGATGCCCCAAAGATGGGGTTGGTCCAAGGGCAGAGGCAACCTGTGCCCAAGAGAGCTTCTCAGTGCTCAGGTTGTCTGGATGGGGTGACCAGAGCAGTGAGAGAAAATCCATGACTGTGTGCATACTCGGCTAGCAGTCTGGAGATCTGGAGGGGGTTGCAGGGTATAGACTGATGCAATTTCCTTAGCACCAACTGCTGTGGAAAACATAGCAGGTTACTTCCTCCTCCAGCAGGCTGAAACCAACTTCAGCAGGGCCGCCGTTGGCGCCTTTCCACTAACCAGCCGGGCCTTCGCTGCCCATGGGGTCTGGTCAGTCACTGACCCCTTTAGCGAAGTGGAGGGCGAGACTGGGACCCAGAGTCCTGATGGACACCTTCGGCTCCACTCGCTTCCTCGGTACTGCGCCGCTGTGCCCTTGCTCCAGGCCAGCATCCTATTCCTTTAGCAGCGCCCCTCCACAAAGTTCTCACAAGATCCTTAGGGTGTAAATACTGTCCATTTGTCAGACCCGAACACTAAAGCCAGGCCACCCCGTCAGCAGCAAAGCCAGGCCCAGAGAACCAGGGCTATTTCTGCTAGTTTCTCACAACAGTTTCTAAAATTAAAAAAAAAAAAAAAAAAAAAAAAATGTGGTAAGTATGTGAAAGTCCATACATGGGAAACGATCCTATCAAATAAGGCAGGCTCATGTCTCCCGTGTTGCTCTGGTGTCTGAGAGCCTCGGAAGCAGGAGCATTGCGGTATTGACCTCCATAATCCCAGCTACCCAGTCAATACCAGCAAAGAGCAGGCGCCCAGCCCTCAGACCTTGAACTGCCCTAGCCCAGTCGAGGACCTGGGGCCGGGTGACCTGGCTGGCTCCCTCATGCCCCGGGAGTGGAGTTCCCTGGACGCGACCCCAGTCCCGCGGAAAAGTTGCAGGCGCTTGCCGACCCCGCGCGTGCTCACTCACTCGTGCTGGGCCGCCAGGTGGTTGAAGATGTAGGTGACCGGGATGGCTGAGAGCGACAGCACGAACACCCCGGTGGCCGCAGAGGCACTCATCGCCGCCGCCGCGTCGCTCGCCCTTCACAGCATCGCACCCGGGTGCCCCCACCCCAGCTTCCGCCGGCGCCGCGCCCCTCGCCGCTGCCCTTCCAGGCGCCCCCCTGCCGCGTCCCCTCCGCGCGTCCCCGTCGCCCGCAGCTGCCCCGCGCGCGCACTGGCGCCACCCGGGTGCGCTAGGGCCGCGGTACGATCCAGAGAGGTGTCCCCGCCCTGCTCCTACTAACGAATGCGGGGGTTCAGAGGCCACCGCGGCGAGACAAGCGCCCCAGGACGCTTGCTCTCAGGGAAAAGGAGTGGCCGGGCGGACGCCGTGGGTCACAGCAGGGAGCTGGGCATCCTCGGGCTGGAGCGGCGCTGGGCTGAGCCAAGGGCCAGCGGAGGGTGGAGCCAGACCCGAGGGTGTCAGAGCGTGCAGGCCCCGCGAGATCGGCTCAGAGACCCACAGGGACAGATGCTCCAGGAACCTGGAACCTCCCCGTCCCTCCCCCCCACATCCCCAAGCAGTCATCAATGGCCGCAACCAAGGTTCTTGTGACAAGTGGAAATATTTGGTTTCCACCCTGGCTACTCGGCTCACCAGCCCTTGACCTTGGTCAAGTTACTGAAGCATTCTGTATCTTTTCTCTCTGTGTGAAATGGGGATAGCCTGCTCCATCGTACGATTGTGGAAAATAACAGTTAACAAGTATGAAATGCTTGCCCTGCACTGCTCAGCACACCGCTCCCTGTCCTTTTTGTAGCAGAACTGACCCTCAGAAGAATGCCCTGGTGTAGGACACTGGGATAGCATTCATTCCTTGCCTGTAAGTGTTCTTGGAGGCCAGGTTACCACCAGCTAGCCTGGCAGGTCCCCGGGGTTACAAAGACTAGAAGGCAACGGCTCTCCTCAGAATATTGCCAGACAGATGGCTGGTTGTAGAGCATGATGGTGACAGCTGTTCTGCTTGAGCTGGCTTTCTGGTGGGGGTGCTCAGGAAGCCCCCTGGGGCTGAGCCTGGTTGATATGGCCTTGGGAAAGGAACGAGAAGTGGGCTCCTGGGCAACAACGGGACCCGCAGAGTGCATGTCTTCCTGTCTGCACCGCAGTCTTATTTGGCTCATTTTTAAACGTGAGCAAAATGAACCATTGATTGGCAAGAGCCTGCCCTGGGCCATTCAGTTGTTCCAAAGCCAGCGCTCCTAATTCCCATTCTAGCTTTTCTTGAAAACTGAGGGCAACATAGAGGTAAAGCAATGGGCACATAGAGGTAAAGCAAAACCTCTACCCAAACTGTGGCTTCTCCAAAGCTTCTCTCAGAAGTCTCGGGGGAAACTGGACAGCACCCGCTTCCATGATTGTTCCTTATCTTTACCTCCTCCTTCATTCCCCAAAGTGCCTCTCTCCTCCTGGTCAGTCCCTTAGGACAGCTCCCCAGGCCAGCCCAGTCCTCCACCACCTCCCATACCTGGCTGCTTTAGCCTTCTCTAGATAGCCTGAGGCCCTCTGACTGCCCTATCTTTCCTGTCCACCTAGACACTTGCTGGACCTCATCTTCTTACTTACTTCTTTCTCATCCATGCTTGGTTTGTTTTAAATTCAAAATTATATTTATGAAAATTGTTTAGTCCAGGCCTGGAATGTAGTTGGTGGAGTGCTTGCTTGCCTGGTGTTCACAAACCCCAAGGCTCTACCCTCCAGCACTTCATAAAACTGGATTTGATGGGGGCACATCTGAAATCCCAGCACTAGGAGATGGAGGTAGAGGGATTCAAGAGTTCAAGGTTATCCTCAGCTACCTACCTAGCAAGTTCAAGGCCAGCCTGGGATACATGAGATCCTGTCTCAAGAGTAACAAAGAAGGCTCAGGAACATGCCACAGAGCATGCCATGCCATGAACTGCACATCATTTGCTCTGAGTGGAAATGATGAAACATTGTGGGACAGAGAGGAGAAGATGCGAAGTGATCAGGGCTCCTCTCACAGAACCTCACATGCAGGAAGCCACTTGTAAGGGTGAGGAAGGGCTGAGCGGATGAGAGGGGCATCTTAAAAGCCTATGGTGTGGACAGCTGCTTACCAGAGAAGACCAATCAGGAAGCTCCTACAATTTGTCCTGGCAAGAGACGATAGGACCAGAACCAAGCCAATGGTAATGAAAGGGAGGAGGAAACAAACGTGAAAGATGCCAGGAAGAATTGGACAAAGTGGGAGGAGACTGTATAAGAGCTTGTTCTGGGGTTTTCAGTACGAATGGTGTTCCAACCATCCCAAGGGCAACTGGGAGTCGTAGTCTGCCAGCAAAAGAGGCAAAGGCTGTAGATACAAGTTTGGATCCCATCAGTACAGAGGCAGGCCATAAGACCAAAACCACGGATTCAACATAGGGGAAGAGTCAGAAGGGCAAACAGGAGCTACCTGAGATTGGTTGGGGGGCATTGCCACCAGCAGGCAGTTTAGTGATGCCTACCCTGACGGCATAATCAACCAACATCCCTGGGCCGAGAGCTGACAACGCTTTAAAGTTTACGACAGGCAGATTGGTCTTGCGTTTTCAGTGTTCTGTTTTGTTTTGTTTAATCTTGAAGCTGAAATATAAATAGCAAGTGGGAAGCGCTCATAGGGACATGCCCTGGGCTTGTGAGTAGTCACAGCCCTGAAAATATAATCCTATCTGCAACAGGTACCCTGTGGATTAAAAAGCAATCCCCATCATCGTTTTTGTTTTGTTTTGTTTTGTATTTTTGTTTTTTGTTTTTTGTTTTTTGTTTTTTTTTGGTTTTTCGAGACAGGGTTTCTCTGTGTAGCTTTGCGCCTCTCCTGGAACTCACTCTATAGACCAGGCTGGCCTCGAACTCACAGAGATCCGCCTGGCTCTGCCTCCCGAGTGCTGGGATTAAAGGCGTGCGCCACCACCGCCTGGCCTGTTTTTGTTTTTTTGGGTTGGTTTTTTTTTTTTTTTTTTTTTTTGGTTTTTTTGAGACAGGGTTTCTCTGTGTAGCTTTGGTACCTATCCTAGAACTCACCCCGTATACCAGGCTGGCCTTGAACTCACTGAGATCCACCTGCTTCTGCCTCCTGAGTGCTGGGATTAAAGGCATGCACCACCACTGCCTGGCCATTGTCTCTTGGTATACTCACAGCAGGTCCCTAAAGAATGTAGAGCCATTCAAGGATAGAGATGTAGAAACCTCAAAGAAGTTAGCTGACTTTGCTCAGAGCCATAGGACAAAGAAGAAAAATGATGAACTCACATCTCCTTTCAGTTGCTGTTCTCAGGATCCCACGGCCAGCCAGCAGCAGAGCACTGGGAATGGTACCTTAGGAAAATGTGAGTGCGTGCACCCCAGGTTTGCCTAGGTTTGTTCTGGAGGTCAGAGTCTCCCTCAGCACAGCTTGGTAATTTAAGTTTGAGAGAGGGACAAATGCAGATTTTTAAAAAAGGCATTCAGAGGGCCTCAAGAGATGGCTCAGGAGTTAAGAACACTGGCTGATCTTCCAGAGGACCCAGGTTCAATATCAAGCACCCATGCTGCAGCTCACAACCATCTGTAACTCCAGTTCCAGGGGGTCTAACTCCCTCTTCTGGCCCCCATAGGCGCCAGGCACCCACACGGTGTACTGTCATACATGAAGGCAAAGTACCCAGCCACACAAATTTTTTAAAGTTTTAAGGCATTTAGGTAATGCAGGGTTTTTGTTTGTTTGTTTGTTTTATAGGTAGTCTTTTATTTGCTTTTTAAGAAGTATCAATCCTATAAATTGTGAATGCTAAGTCTATAGCTGTAGCCAAGCACCAGATTGATTCCAAGTGTCCTGGGGATAAAACAGAAATAGAAATACCATTTTTGTAGTATCAACTCAACAACTGGCTAGTGAGAATTAAACTGGAGGTTCCCCTCAGCACATCTGTGTCCAGCAGTGAGGAAAAATGAAAGCAAGACCCTGAGGAGCTTGGTCACATAGGAAACAAGAAATCCCATCTGTCAATTATGGATGAGGTCCCTTAGATAGACAGCCTTCCAGAAACTGCAACAGCAATCAGCCAACCTTTCACTTTTTAGTCCCCTGGCCCCAGGGCCTTCCCTCGCTGCCTCTTTTCTGGTGTTTCATTTTTAGTTGAGTTTGTGTGACTGGGTTTGTAGCTCAGGGATAGAGCGCGTGTCTGTTGTACACCAGGCCCTGGGTTTGAGTTCCAGTATTGCAAAGGGGGTCAGGCAGGGAAAGAGCTGAGTATGTGTTCTTACAAAAGCTTATATGTTCTCGATGAGAGTGCATGAGGCATTCAGGATGCTCTGTGGGATTCACTGTGGTGACACAGAAGCAACCAAAGAAAGGACCCTATGACTCACGGGGTAGATAATGAGGACGCCGTCTGATGGCAGAAGCCAGGAGAGAATAACCCACCACTTCCCTCCTGAAACCTCAAGACTGGAAGAAGCTCTCAGTGCGTGTGACTGCTTAACTCCATAGTTGCCGCGAGTGGGCTGAAATCATTGATAAGAATCTTGCGGGTGGGGTGAAGTTGCTCTGTGCCCAGCCCCGGACAGTGCCAAGCATACGATGTGCTCCACACTGACTGCAGAGGAGAAGTGGGGGCACCAGAAATAGAAGCGCTGTAGAAAAGAGCAGTAAGCAAATGAAACGAGAGCGTGTGTAAAAGGTCTGCAAAGGTACCGAGCTGTTGCCAGTGGAGGTCTGCAGTTTTGCCCCGGGTTTCCTAGCAACCAGAGCAAAAAAAGAAACATACGCAGCTATAACATCCACGGTGCCGAAAGATAAAAAACAGAGCAGTTGCTCAGAAAAACTCCTCCCTCGATCTTCTTAAGGGAGCATTCCTATGGTAAATACAGGCTTGTGTTCTGGACATCCTCCTGCAGGTGACTGGCATGTTGACAAGTGTCACCCAGTATACTTGGGTGGCCAAAGCAATTTCATGGCGATAAGAACGCTCTGAATATTTAGACTTGGTTCAGAGGGAGATTTTATAACATCTGGGGACAGTGATGCACAAAGATACTTTTCCAGCACCTATACCATCACCTCTAGTCTAAGTACGAGGCAGATATCACTGCCTCATGGTGGCACTCTTTCCTGTTTGAGGGCACACTGGTAAGTTTCTCTTGGTAAAGTGTTTACAAAAAAAAGAAAGAAAGAAAAAGAAAGCATTTGACTGGGGCTGGCTTACAGTTTTCAGAGGTTTAGTCCATTAACATCTTGATGGGAAGCATGGCGGCATGTAGGCAGACATGGTGCTGAAGAAGTAGTTGAGAGTTGGGCATTTGGACCCACAGGCAGCAGAAATAGAGACACTGAACCTGGTTTGGGCTTTTGAAACCTCAATCCCCCTCCCTCCCCCTCCCCAGTGACGCTCTTCCTCCAATAAGACCACATCTATTCCAACAAGGCCACACCTCCTAATTCCTCTCAAGTAGTGCCAC